CATGAATGGCTCCTTAAAGAGCAGATACCAAATGTGGAAAGCCAGGTGCTGCGGAAGGGCTGAATTCAACTTCGTACTGCTGGTAGAACAAGGCTTGCCTAGCCAATCCTCCTCTCTGAAGCCTGGGCGCCTGCTCTCCAAATCTGGTTCAGAGGGTGGGAAGCTCGAGGAAATTGAGTCCCAGTGTGCTGGTGATCTCTCTTCCATGGACACAGCAAGGAAGGTAGATTCCTGGGTTGGTAGATCCAACCCAGGACTCTAAGGGGGCCCCTTACCCTTTCCCCCACTCTACTGCCATCCCTGTCTAAGTTCTCCGGGCCTATTAATCTCCATCAAGAGGAGAGATCCAACTGGTATTGATGGAAATTTTCCTCCTGATACAAAAAGCAAGCACAGGTGCCAATCAGGATTGAGATGACCATGGAAAGCAAAGGGTAAGACCCTTACCCCTGGGTACTGATTCCAATTCCCCCTCCCTCTTACAATGTACTGCCGAAAGCTAACATGGCCATGGGGCTACATATGATTTGGCCCTTAGAAAAAGGAAATCTGTTTCATAATCTAAGAATACGACTTCATGCTTATGAAGTGGGCTTTGGTTGCTGAAAACTTGTGTCACAGCATTTTTTAAAAAGTGCTCCGTTTCCCTGATTTAAACAAACAACAAACCCATCCATTAGTGAAATTCTATTTGATTAGGCTGGATGATGCTCTAGATGGAAGTGTGTTTTGGCATATCATACAGAAGGTATGATAAGTTCATTCAGCTGAAATACAACTAAAGCCCTGGGAGTGCAGCCCCAGTCTGAACCAGGAATATGGTGAGAGGTGAGGGGGAGTTTTAACCCTTTTTCCTGTATGAGAAGTCCACCGCTACTCTGCATTTGGAAGAGACTCTCTTTACAGAGAGTGGGAAGCCTTTTCTCCAATGCAAATAGCAGGTACAGGGAATAGCCAGCAAAGAACCAATGTTCCTTATCTGTACAGTACAGATTTTGATGAGAGAGCACACCAGCAATTTATTTTTAAAAAGCTAGTCATGCAATTATGTGAATATTTTGTCTAGTTTGGCCTTTAATTCAAAGTTCTTTTGGTGAACAGGGCTTCTGACAATATAGTAACCAGTTGAAAAGGTTTATGAAATACTATGAGTGCACATATACTGCTGTAGATGAAATCATGAAATCCACTGGTAACACATTATTTCTGCAATGTTTGATCCTCCATTGCAATGCACTTCTCCTAATAGCTGTTGTCCTCCCTCTGCCCAGAAATGCTACTTCCGCATTCTTTTGAAGACAATACTAAAGATGCGAACTGTGCGCCCCATTTCTAAAGCTAGCATGCCTGGCCTGGAATTATATTATGGCCCAGCAGAAGATCCCAAAATGATCTTGTTTGAACTGAAACAGGTAATGCTGTTTGTAAACATGTAAAAAAAGATGTGGAAAATGTATCCTAATTTTGTAGAAAATGTTCACTATGCTAATGTTTTATTCTGTTTTATATTGCACACCTCCCAGAGAGGAGGAGGAGGAGGAGGAGGAATAATAATAATAATAATAATAACAACAACAACAATAATATCATCATCATCATCTTACATTAAATGCCCATAGACCTAAGTTAATTACAACTTTGTGTTTTGCAACCTAGTTTAGAGCTTATACAGGGCACAGCAGGTATGCCTATTTCTAGTGGAGTTGATAGCTTTGTGCAAGCACAACACCCACTGTGATAGAAAAATTCTGTTGTTTCTACAAGTAATAGTTCAGGGGCCATATAGCTTCTGGTCATTGGAACTCAAAAGTTCCCAAGGCAAGGTCTTCTCAGACACTGGGAAGCTGTGATTTTTGGGGGTTACAGAAGGGGACCCATTCTATAACTATTCATGTTTAGGGAAATGGTATTATCTCTGGCTTGCAAGAGAAAGGTTTTAAAAAAACACACACACACAGGGAAGAATACTACACCTGCTAAGATATTTATTTTTCTTGCAGGCAGTATGGCTAACTTGCCTCAGCAGTCTGTGTACTTGAAGCTGACCACAGACTTCTTATTACATTGCATTTATACCCAGTCTTTTTTTCCTCTTGTTAGAAACCCAAAGAGCCTTACATAGTTCCATTTTCTCATGATTTTTTCTCGTAAGCACTAGATGGTGCTGTTTTCCAAAAAGGACCAAGGTCATAATTACAGAAAAGTTACTACAGAATGTTTGGCTATGGACAATGATCTGAATTTTTTACAGATATAAAGAGAACAAAGGTGTGGTAATCTACAGCTTCACCTCGATTTGAGACGTTTTTAGCTGCAGTGAGCTTCTTTTGGGAAGGCAAAGCGGGTGCAAACATGACATGTACAAGTATATTCTTAAAGTAAGGAAGAAAGCATATAGTAGTTGTGATACAATAGCAAATGAGGGTTTTTGTTTCACTCAGGTTTCTGTCTTTACAGGCAAAAGCACTATATCATACAATTGTCCTCATTCTAGAGGAAGCAACGGAGTCCAACATTTAGTGACCATCAATGGAAGCTGACAACATGCTTCCTCCTACCTCCAAGATCGTTCTCATGTTTCTCTGATACAGCTCATCAAACAGACTTGACATAAGGAATCATTCTCCTCTGTCTCTGTCCATCAGAACCATTTGTAAGCAGCTTTGTTACATTAGCTCTTTGTACCATGATCCTGAACCTGGACCACCACTGTCACTGCACATGTTTTCCCTCCAGTCTAATTGCAAACATCTTTAATGCTCTTGGGTTGTCCTGTCTGGTGTTGTGTAGCCTGAGCGGCTTTGCAGTTTTCTGCAGAACTTTGAGTGATGAGTTAGGCTGGATGAAAAAAGAGCAGCTTTTGTATAGGACTTGCTACAAAGATAACATGAGAGGACATAATTGTATGTACTGTGTGGCAGTGAAAACAGCAAAGGTGGCTTGTCTTGCAAACATCCTTGCATCCTCAAATAGGATCCAACAGAGCTTTTTTGACTTACACCAAGTTTAGTGGCATCTGCCCAACAAATAAAACACTGGCATCCTTAGATATCCAGTGAAACAATTTTTCTAGGCACTTTGTTTTCCATGGCTACTGAGCCATATTGAGAATCCAGTTTTTCAAGGCCCTAAATAGCTGAGAAATGGGTTGAGCCTGGCCTGGGAGGGAGAGGCCCTGCCTCTCAGTGCTTGGTCATGTTCTAGAGAAGGGCCTTTTTTGTTTTGTGGAATAAGTTATTATGCTATGTCTCACCCTTTTTGCCTTGCAAGGAATCCGAGGCAGCTTAAACCAACCCTCTCTCCATTATACCCTCACAACAACCCTTTGTGATAGGCTTGGCTGAGTGTCAATGACTGGTCCAAAGTCACCAAGTGAGCTCCATGGCAAGTAGGTGTTACTAATGATAACTAATTTTAACCTGGGTATTTCCCTAACCACTAGCAGTTAGCACCACCTGCTACCCCTGACTATTTTAGTGTGGCAGTCTATGCTTTGTTACTGCCATGATTGGGTTGTATGGTATTTTATGATTTTATCTCATGAACTTTTACAGAAAAATATAGCTATATTTACTGAAATAAATAGTAGCAAAAGTAATATTTAAATATGTTGACAAGTGCAATATTTACAAAAAGTTTAGCAGAACCAATGTTACAGTAAACAATAATTCAGCTGCGCTTTATCCAAGCTTTAGGAGTTAAGGTGCAACAACTGCAGAATGCAATCTAAAACTAAACTTATATAAATTGGAACCTAGCCATGAACATCTTCAATGCACAGAGTGAATTCCTACAATGGGCTTACAAGAAGGCTTCAGATGAATATTGCTCTTCATAGGCATATAGCTAAATATGCTCCAGCACAAAAGGTTAAGCACAAATATCACCCAGAAAAAAATGTATAGCAGTACAGTAGAATCTTAGTCCTTAAACTCACTGCCCTAGTTTGCGTGCACCCTAGCATTTGCATTTAACCTGCTGTATGGCTCACTCTTGAATAACGTGATGGTGATTGCTGAGTTGTTACGTGATAAATGTGAGTCCTATGGTTTACCTATGGGTTGTTCATCATGAAGAATCTAGGAAAAGAACTCATGGTCTGTGTCCTGGGTTACAGCACAAACTAGAATATGGTTTGAGTGTGGTCTCTTAAGTCATGGGTTGTGAGAACCCTGTTGGGCTAATAAATCAATGGTCTGTTAACCATGAACAACCCATAGTTCTCAACCCAACAAGAAACTGTAGGTTTTTTTCCAGTTTTGTTTGTGGTTAACAAACTAGGCTGAATACAATTCTATATTCTAGTAACCTCTACAGTGGACTATTTTAACATGCTTGATATATGGCTACTCTTTAATATTTAGAAGCTTCTGCTGGGCCCCCATTTTTCCCCAGAATATTGTCTGGAATGCAGTGTATTGACAAGGAGTACAACTCTAATCCTGTGCAATCTGCCCTGGACAAATTATTTCCAGCCTCAATTTAGTGTGTTAGTTCTTACGTATTAAGCCTAAATGATTTAGAACTGGGGTACCTTAAAGAATCACCATCCCCTAGCTACCTAACTCCTGGAACTTCATTGGCAGAGGCCAGCCATCTCCTTATACTTAATTTTCACCATTTGATAAAAATGTGGCTCTTTGGGTTGGTTTTTGGTGGTGCTCATGCTTTCTCTTCTTACTGTTTTTGTATTCTTGGTAGTACTGCTGTTATTTTGCTGTTTTACTGGGTTCCTTTTTCAGCTACTTTGCTCTGCTTGTAAGAAAAGGGTATATACATTATTAAAATAAAATTAAGTATACATTCTATTCACAGTTAAGCACTTATAAGTCCATTTTTCTTAAGTGGTAGAGTACCTAATTCTGCAGAAACTTTGAGTAATTCAGTGATCAATCAGTTCAGAGAGTACTTTTTCAAAATCAAGCTAGGAACCAGTGTCTTGACGTACCTTGCCCTTGCAGATGATTCCTGTTTTCAAGTATAAACAACAACAACCTGTGTAACTTCAACATTCATTTTATTAGCAGCTTGCAATATATCTTTTTAGTAACAAAGCCTTTCCCCAAACAGAAGCTATTTAGAAAAACCCTTCCCTAATCAACCTTTGTCCATGAGCTCTCATTATCAGAAAATTTAGTGGCTGTTCTGGAGCGAAAACTAAGGCACATGTCAACCGAATAATATTAACATCACTATTGCGTGCAAGGTATCTGCAGCCCAGGCTGGATCCACACTTAGTCATACTTCATGTAAACCCTTTAAAATCAATTTGCTCAACTTAGTCATGACTAATTTAAGTCCCATTGCTTGCAAAGAGTCTATTGTAAGTATGGCTATGTCTGGATCCGACCTCTTATTACAAATTCCAACTATGTATAAATGAAGCAGCATGTTCTCCAAAGTCTGTGGGCAATTTTGCCATGAAGCTAATGGCTAATTAAGATCAGTTCAGACCCTAGAGGCACAGTGTAGCAATATGGCTTTTACTTAAGAAAAAAATATAACAATTTTTATTCAAGCAACTTTTCCAAATGTACAGTTGTTTCACAATTTGTGTCATTGACAGCTGGCAATGCAATGCAATTTCTCCATGATAGGAGAAACAGATACGAGCAGGTGGCAAAAAAACATCATTTTCAGGTCACTTGCCCTCAATGTAGTTACTTGGCAGCTACTTTCATTTTTTCCTGCAAGAGGTTTATGAAGTCACTCTAGGCTAAAATCTACACGCTAAGCCCTCAGCAGCACCAACTCCTATAGATGTTTTCTGTAAACTGCAGCATCATTGTGGGGGATTTACCAGCAAAGATGTTCACCTCCACACCAAGGACTTTGCATAGCAGACTCATCTCTGGCTTGTTTATCCATGCTATTGGAAGACTGCTGCTTTAGCACTTCCATGTATAATACTGTAGCAGTTAATACAAAGGGCTGCTTCCCACATTATTTTTAAGGTGCACTAGTATAACAGATTATACCAACAAGCATGAATCAAACAGACACTACGAATTCCAGGCCATAGCTTCTTGCATTCTGTGCCTGACAACCTGTGAAGCAGGCATCTATTAAAACTATATGGCAATAATAATGTATGCGAGGGCTCCAATAATTTGGACTTACTTCATACCCTCAAAAATGTAATACAATATTGCATAACAGTGTATAACAAGATTGCAATGGCAATTTTCCTTAAAGGTAATATTAGGTCTGCCCATTTGCAACAGCAGTTGTGCACACAAATAGATCAGAGAGCGGAGTCTTTGCCTCTTTAAGTATCTCACCTACATTTAGTCACAGCTTCCTGGTGTACAAACAGGAAATACATAATGGTACCAACAACAGAAACTTTGGAGTGGAGGGGGTGCTAGTCATATATATTCCTGAGCTTCTACAGAAAGGTTCAAACTCCTAGTTGGACATGCTGAGTTAGATAATGGCATTTATAAATGAAAGGGCCTGATTATTCCTCTTCCTTCAAACAAGGACATGCCATCCCACCATGGATAAGCAGAAGAAAGAAATTACATTTTTCTTTAAAAATAAATTCTTAAGGTATGACTAAAATGTTACATACAAATGCACGTAACAAATACCTGATAGCAACAGGCAGAGGATGGAGGCCAGCAAAAACAGATTGGAAATCTCACACCCAAAGTATAGATGGACTGGAATTTGAAGCAATTAAGCAGCAGAGCACCAGCAACCCTCTCTCATACTATTTTAAGACAAATCATCCCCTACTGAAGAAGTTTTTTTTCTGTTTTAAAGTAGCAGCTACCTGGGTGCGGTTATCCTTGGTTTTCATGTAACTGTTAATATACTATAATCTACACTGTATTACCAACATCATAGAAGATGATGATGTCTGCCAGCACTTCACATTTTCTTTGCAATGTGCAGGAAATTATGTTTTCATTCTAGTCTAAGATGACACTTTCCAAATAAAAGGAAAATGCTGTGACATCTTAAAACAACAAAAATCACAAAGGGATTTGGGGAAAACATTTTCAGTTTCTCATTGCCAAAGTAAATGTACCCTATAACAACTCACTGCACAGCACAGAGATCCTGAGTAAAGCAGGTACATTTCTGCTATTTAAGGCTGCTGCTGATAAATCCATCTGAAAAGATGGAGGAGGGAATCTTGAGTAGTAGAAGGAGTCCTAGTCAAATAGTTCTAGTCCTTTGTATTTGCTAAAAGAGGCAAAGAAGATGGCATCACAGAATGCCTACCAGGATTGTGAAAGCATTGTTTCAAGACAAGAAATGTCACCAAAGGCATTTTTCAGGGCTGTCCTCTCCTGACCCCCCACCCCACCCCCAGTACTCCACAGGAAGCATAGCTACAATCAAATCTCTAGAGACTTGGGTCCAACAGCCATAAGAAGCAAAGAGAACCACTGCACTGTATGTGTCATGTTTCCAAGCTGGTTAGTTCCTGCCAGTCTGTCTCATTTTCACACTTGCCTCGAGTTTTGAAAAATACTTTGATAAGTCTATGTGCATCTTCTTTTACTGCAAACAGAAATAACAATAAACAATGAAATCTTATATAGCTCTGTTTATCACTACAGCTAATAGTATCCACTAACATGGTCCCAGTACTACCAAGAGGTCTGCAATGAGAAGAATCTGCACTAACCCCCTTCCCGCTATGTACACACATACAAATAACCTGTTATAAATGTTGATTATGAATATTTGTATAAATGCTCCAAACTGTGAATACCTTTCTGTAGCAAATTCTGTTTGCAAAATGGGAATGTTGAAGAAGAGAACATGGCAGTACTGAAGCACTGTGGCAATACTGTACTACCACAAGCATACAACTGAGGAATAAGAATCATGGTATGAAAAGATAAAGAAACTAGTTGCTGGAGAAAACTCTAAATACCCTGTCCAATTTCCGCTTCTTAAAGATGCCACATATATTTTCAATAGTGTTTTGATATTATGTTCTTACATGCTCATCTATTTTAAAAAATGGTGTTTAGTTTTCCCAATGCTTCTAGCTTTCGTTAAAAAGTAGTCATAGAGGAGCCTATTTTGACTGAAGTAGTGTTGTTTGGGGAAAGGAGGGACTAATCCTTTCCCTCATGCCATTTTCCCCAAGTTATATACTTCACAACACCATCCCAGAGTTGCAGTTGTGGAAAAATCCTTCTTGCTCACGGCACCACTCGGGTCAATGCTGGAGCCCCTTTCCCTATGGATGCTTTTAAGTGAAACAGAAATGTCAGGAAACCCAAATCACAGATTTCCCATACCACATCTTCCATGGTTTGGCTCTTAGATTATCTTTAAGGAGGATGGATGTTTCTGATCTCCAAGATTTAGATCCTTCTTTTGTATGAAGCCTGTCGACTTTATAAGAATTGTCAAGAATATTTCAACTTAGTTGTCAGGGATACCAGTTAGGGAACTTATATATCTACAATCTCTGTCATCTTAATTATGCTACTATTTGGGATCCACAAGTACTAGAGACCTTTGGCCCCTGCCCTAAGAGCGAAGAACTAGGGCCCTGTACCAGTCAACAGATTGTATGTTAGACATATCTCATACCAAGTAGCAAAGGACGCTCTTCTGCACACCTCACCTGTCTTCCGGAGAGGAGTCTTGTCTGCAGCCAACAAGTGTGAGAGGTGCCGGGCAAACCCTTTAAAAAGGTCCTGCCAGTTAAAGCAAAAAGGGTAGAATTAGCATGTTATAATTCAGTCCCTAAACTATATGTACCCAAATACGCTCACTTTAGGGCTGCCACAATGCTATCTGTACTATGTTAAGGGCTAGATGTAAAAAGATCACATGAGGTAAATTTGAAATGAACATGAACAAAGAATAAGTATGTTGTTCTCTTGCTGTTATTCTGGCATTGCCCATCGGACTCTTGCAAACCAAGAAGGCATTTATGGAATATCCTGCAGCTTTCTGCTACTACCAGAATAGTGACTTCATGATCCAACAGCAAGACAACTGCTTGCTAAAAAGGCAACAGATTAGGCTGGCTGCAGTAACGTCATCATTTTGCATCAGTGCCTATAAATGAGTTCCAATATAGACCAAACAGAACCCAAATATCCAGCAATGCTTCCCTATCTTTTCCTCCAAGACTGAAAGTGACAGAGGAGCAAAGGCTGGTTATATGCATTAGAATCCTGAACAAGATTCAAAGGATAAAATACACACTGATCTAAATTAAACTACCTGAAGGGCAGCTTATAAAGTAGGACAGTGTATTTTATGGTCCACTCCCACTCTAAAAGGGATCCAAGACACTTGGGTGGATTTGCACAATTCATGTTTGCACAATACACAGTAGTAGATTACCTTGATGGGTTTACTTATTTATTTTATTCAATGCATATACTGCCCGACTAGCCATAGGCTCTCTGGGAGGCTTACAACATGGGCTGACCCGAAGTTCCATGTAGGCAGGGTGAGCCCAACTAAAGAACAGACTTATCATGGTTGCATTCTTTCTTCCCACCACCTCATCCCTCTCAGTCCTCCAGGCAGGATCCCAGGAGACATTGTGGGGAGGGACAAGGATCCTCTCTCTCACTGTGAGTTGAAGCTCTTGCTCCAAAAGAGACATCTTGGGGGGGGGTGCAGGGGAGGGGGGTAGTGACTGATTCTCAGACAACGGGGACCTCCTACAGGAGCAGTCAAGGAAGAACGTGGGCTAAACTGGGATGTACTGAGAATGGAACATCCTTGCCTAGCCCAGGTTCTTCCTTCCCTGCTCTTGCTAAAAGACTCTCTCTCCAGCAAAGAGAGCAAGTCCAGCCTTCTCACATCCTGCTTGGGAAAAAGGCATTCTGGCAGGCATCAGGTTGTGGAACAAGAATGGCTTTCCCTCCAACAGAAGGAAGGAAGGGGGGCCTGGGCTAGGTAGGGACCTACCAAGAAGGGAGCATCTTTGTCATCATCTCTCTTCCCCACAGGAGTGGGGAGGATGGCTTCTCCTTATGCTTTGCTCTTGCTGGAAGGAAAGCCAGTCAAATATGAGGGGGAAAGGAAGACACTAGACCAGACAATAATGTTTCATGTTTGGCATGTCCCAGGCTAGCCCAGACTCCCCTTGCCCGTGCCTGCTCAAGCAAGAGCGGGAGAATCAGCTTCGCACCATGGCAATGCGGCCTAGCTGATGCCCCCGCCACCCCCATGTGTGACGCTGATTTTCATGCATAAATCTCTGGCTAATACTGTGGAAATGGTCTTTCCATGCTGTCCTTGAAACCTAATGGATAATTTATTTCAAGCCTCCCTTTCAAATGACAAAAATGTAATAACCCACCTTGGAAGCAAATTTGCCATTTTTGTAGTAAGGGGTCAAGTATTTTACAACAATATCTGCTGTTTCCTTAAGTGATAATGTCTTTGGCTGAATGGTTTTGGTGGTTCCTTCTTTATCAACCTGTGATAAGTTTGGATCAAAAGTGACTTTCTTTTTAGCAAGTCCACCAGCTTTCCCATCTGATTGCAATGAGATGGGATACTTATCCATCATCCGCAGTCTCTTTTCAACAGGGCTCCCCAAGTCCTTAAAGAGAGAGCAACAGGCTCATGAAATAAATGCCATGTGGCCAAGCTTAAACAGCCTTCCTGAAGAACAGAAATACTTATTCTGTACCAGTTTGGTCTGTAGTCTAAGACCATTGATTATTTTGTGCACCAAAGATTCTCAGTTTGTATTTGTTTGTGTCTCCCTAATATAAAGAAATTAAATAAAATCACCTCCAAACACTGTAAGCCTTCAAAGGAAGGACACTAGAAGGATGCCTCACTAGCCCCCAACCAACAATTGGCTATTATTCAATACAAGAAGTTTTCTATGTATGCTGGACACATGTGCATGCACAACAGCCACATACCACTAATCACAGCGACAAACAGTATGTGCCAATTAACTAAAAAATGGGGCTAGAAAGTGGCACATTCTTAATAACTGCCTTATAGTGAGCCTACTGGAACAATCACTGTTCACATAGCTATGCATACTTTTTGTCTACTTATTAAAGGACGGTTTCTGGAACATTTATCTCATTACCGCACACAAAAATGGCATTTTAATGCTCTTTAATTTATTTTGGGAGTACCTCACTGTTACCTCCTTTAAAACAAGAAAACATTCTGAGCCCTTTCTCTAGGACAAGGCATTATGATAATGAGAGTGGGACATAAATTACTGTAAGTTGTTTAAGAGGCCACTATGCTATATTACACTACACAACAGCTTTTGGCTGAAACTATATGGAGAGTGACATGTAAAAAGGTTCACAGGTAGACTTGTAGTGTCTACTCCGAACCTGACCAAATGTCTCTTCTCTAGTCAGATACATTAACATCATCATCCTCTGGGCAAGGGAAGAGCTCAGAATGTTTTCCATTAGAATGTCAATAATTACTAGCATCTCACCAAGTTCCAGCAATGGCTAAGGCACCTCAGTTAGAGAAACCGCTACAGAATTTGCAATTACTGAAATCATGTGATCTGACATTTACATGAGCCACCAATTGAAGTGACACCTATGAGTCACATGATAAACCCATTTTATTATTTTTCCCTTGAAACTATTAACATACTGGATTTAAATCATCCTTGTACACACAAATTGATTATTTGTGAGGCTGGATTGCTCCACATCGTGGCTTTATGTTCTGGACACCCAAGTGCAACAGTGGGTAGTGTCATAAACACCTTATACTGAATGTCAGTTTACTGTTATATGGACCTTCATGATTTTTCTTACTGTCCAGAGTACACCACAAGAGCCACTTTCTCTGCAGTCTGACCATCTAACTTCATTTACTGTAGCCCTTTTTGACAGAGACAAAACTCAGCAGAACACAGAGCAGGCATTCTTAAAACTACACTCACCTGATGAGGTGAAGAAACAGATCAATACTACATGGCATTTCCAACAGAAGAAACAGAATGCCGCTTGTTGTCACCTGCAGTTCTCAACTAAAACTGAGTATAGCATAAAAAAAATCTATATTGTATCTTGTAAAATTACTCTTCCTTCTCACGAGCCTTGTGTAAAAGGCTTATCCTTATCCACAGGCAAGCATCTCCTCCAATCTGAAGCTTACAGTAATGGACCAACAGTGACACAGCCCTAGGAAGGAACCATTACCACAAAATCTGGTGGCAAGATAGATCCCTCTGCTATTCAAACACAGTCACTGGACCAAAGAAAAACCGCTGTATTATCAAGGGCTCATTCACTCACTTTACCTACTTGGTTTATATCCTTTTTTTCTTTTTTAAAGAACTCAAAGTGGCTTACATCATTCTCTTCCTCCTCTTGCTCTCAATCTGTGAGCTGAGCTGGGCTGGGTTGAGTGTCTGAGGCTGGCCCAAAGTCAGCCAGTTGGCTCCATGACTGCGCATGGACTAGAACCCAGATCACCTGAGTCCCAGCCCAGTGCTCTTAGCCACTACGCCACACTAGCCTACACATCTTCTAATGCAATAGATTAGGGATGACCAGACTTGCTCAGTGGAAGAGCCACATATAATAAATGTCAGATCTTTGAGAGTCACCTGCAGGCTGTGGCCAGTATGTGGCAAGCGGACGCCTATGGACCATGAACCACAAAATAAACTCAAAGAACTGCATGCAGCTCCTGAGCCTCCGTTTGGCCACCCCTGCAATATAGCATCACGTCCCAGCAGTGCCTTTCTGCTATTTACATAGGCGGATTGATCCTCCTTTCCTAGAGTCTGATCTATGTATACCAACCAGACACTAAGTGTGGGTACATACAGAATGGAAACTTTGCTTGTTACTGGACTTTAGATGGGGAGTAAAAGCTATATTGTTCCATTTAGCTTTTTCTGATTCAGGGTGCTTTTTGATTTTGGAAAGCTCCCTTTTGTTATTTTTATCAGTTTTAGATTTGTTTTCAATTGCTTCTTCTTTGTGTTTATGATTTATTGGAAATTGCCTCAAGGATCGAGTGACTTCATCTACCTATAATAACCCGGGGCAGGTTATTTAAACTGTAGATAGTTAGGGAGTAGGGGCAGAAACAAATGAAAGTGTTACCGCTTGACTACTAACTCAGTGTTGTCCCTGCTTTCATGAACAACCCAGGTGTATCCTATTCCTGGGGTTGCACTTCATGACAAGCAAATCCTGAGCTCTGGCTTGTTTGTGAGAGAAACAACCCAGAGCTTTAAAAGCAAGTAATGGTTTTCCTCCAACAACAAACTAACTCCATGTACTCTCATTGAATTTGCTATTCCACTAATATCAGTCCTACACCCATATTATACCTTCTTCTCCTATTCTAGTGGCTGAGAATCAGCTCTCTTGCAGTAAGCTCCAGTAAAATGTGTTGTGCCTATGCCCCAGGTATATGTGAGAGTAAAGGAATACAGTAATGAGAATTGTATTAAAAACAATTCCTTACCTCAGCTGACCTTGGTCTCTTTCCATTATGGTTTTCACAACTGTTCACCATTTCATCTTCAAGCAAAATTTTATCACTGCTGCTGAGAGAAATAATCAGATGTTTGTGCAAGGATGGTTTAAATACACTGGATTTTATCCACATTTAACCACGTGAAAGCAGGCTGGGGAGCACAATTTCCTGCTCCCTTCTCTAAACAGCAGCACTTCTGGCCTTCACCCAAAGGGTTAGGGAACCCATTGAAAGGATGTAGGCTGTGGTGCAGGAAGAAAGGGGGAATAATCAAAGCTGCAACTGGAACCCCTAAAAGGAATGGTGAAGGGTTCCAAAAGCTCTCTCTCAACCCAAGTAGTGAACATTAAAACGGAAAATGTCATTCAGTGTAAGCAAGCATGAAGCAATGGCACATGGGGCCAAAACTCCTAGTTCCACATATACACTGATGAGGGTCTCAGCTAACAATAAATGACCAAGAAAGGGAGTTTGAGGTTGTGTTGGAAAGCACAGTGTAGATCCAGTAAGTGGATACTGAGGGGGCACGGGGGGCACAGGCACATTCTATGATGTGGATCATTAGAAACGGAATTGTTTACTTGGAAAAATTAAATACTGAAAAGGATTTTGGAAAATTTCCTGTTTCAGACAAATGTTCAGTGGAAATTTGCACCTCCACATCATTGTGTCCGAACATCAGTTGTGGGGAAACACAAACAGAAGGGCGGTTCTTTCCCTCATGTCCTGACTGTGGGCCATAGATATATAATGAGCCATTGTACGGAGGGTATGCTGGACCATGATAGGCCTCTGGTTCGATCCAGTATGACTGCTATGTGCTTGTGAGCCACTGGAAGATGAAATAAGAGAGTAGTTGTAGTTGAGCTGCTTATGAATACTCCCTTCCAACTTCTTACCAAAAGGATGCTAAGGAAAAATACCTTACCTTGTTTTGTCAGTGCTTGATCCTAAGCACTCTATTCCTGAGCTATGACTTCTCAAATTGAAATCACCTTCTGTTTCCTCAGATTCCTGTTCTTCTATCTGGGATAAGCCAGCTCTTGCTTCTTTGGTGGCAATATCAGTTTCCCAGGAACTTGTTTTCTCCTCACAAAGAGACTGAGGTATTTCACTAAGAGAGCTGTTTTCCTCTTCTGCAATGTCACACTCTGAAGCTAAGGTCTTAGACCCTGCTTTAGAAATGGAGAAGAATTTGACAATATTCTGAGATTCTTTTTTAGCTGCTTCTGCCAACAGCAGCTGCCTCTTAGTAGCTTTGCCCTTCATGGTGGGACAAACTCCCGAAGAGGCTATAGAATCAGAAGTGCTGTGCTGTCCCTTCTCAGAGTTTTCATCAGCATTTTTACAGATTTCTTTGGTAACTTTCACTTTATTCTCAAGTATGTTATCTGTGTCCACAGGCTCAGAGTCACAGCTGTGTTCTTTCTTCCAGTTTGAGCTAATCATCTTCATAGAATTAATTCCATTTTCCTCCTTGGCAGCCAGAACCTCTGAAGCAGATTGGAAAATCCCAGATGTCTTCGGAAATCCAATGCCCACTCTTTTGGGCTTGAACTACATTAAAAAGGATCAGAAATAGCTAGATGATGAAGGTTCCAGTTTTGCCTACCCAATTTACCCCTTGGAAACCCAAAACTAAAGCATAGTCCATCCAAAACATAGGTGTGATTTAAACCAAGGACTACTTTACATGTCAGGTTTTTCCTATGTGGAAAGCATTAAGAGATAAAAGCAAAGGAGGAAAAGAAAAAGAGGGACTAGTGAGAGTAAGAATAAATTACAGGAAAGAATTCACATAGGTATCAAGGCAATGCCTGATGTTGCAAGTTCTTCATTATAATCACTACCTAAGCTTCAAACTGAATTTGCCTGTACTTACTGTGTTCATTTTGTATGCTTGGAAGAAATCATCAGATGATTCAGCTTTCGTCTTGGAACTGCCCTCAACTCTTGAGGAAAAGGTAGAATAGAGTTCCCCATCTTTGGAAGCTTTATTAATTTCTGCTACCTTTATGCAGAAAAAAGGGATTACCTGATGCCTTTCTGTCTTCACACAACATTTTTGCAACAACAAAAGCAGCACACATAGCAGCCCCATGTAAAGAAATGTTCAGAAAAATTATACTTATTTTCCAAATTAATCAATAAAGAATTATCATCATTCCTAATTATCAGGGCATGTTTATAACAATCTTGCTTGGATTAACTTCAGGCTGTTGTCATTTTATTTACTTCAGTCACTTACTGAAGTATTTTATTTACATATCTGGTTTCTTCACTCCCCACTCTCAGCATTAAAAAGGGATTCTCTCCAACCCTAGTCTGTCAAAGTGCATTGATGAGAATGTTCTCCAAATATGCATTAAAAAAACTTGTACCTTACTTTTAAATGTATTTTCAAAGCAGCTTGCAAATAATAATAAAAGAATTAATGACATAAAAAAGGAACATTATACAATCCATAAAACAGCAACTACACTTGTCATGTACCACCTCAGTGGCTTTTTGTCTGATCACCTCTCACCTAATGTGTAATGGATGGGCACCAAAAAAGCATCCATCCTTAAGGCAGGTTAGGGTAGAAGTTAGAGGGCTTTCAGAGCAATTGGCAATGAAAAGAGGTTGGAACTTTCTATCTAACTTTATCTGTTTGTATTTTTATTAATTATCTATCATTCCTATTTATTGTCATTGTTTATGGATTGTTTTGATTGTTATTCGATTTTAATGTGGTAAGCCATCCTGAGACGTTGTTGTAAAGGACGGCATATAAATGTTGTAAACTAACTAACTAACTAACTAACATTACAGAGAAGGGCTTGCAACTGAATGTACAATAATTTCCAAGTTTGGCTGCTGATGTTTCTTTACACTCTCCAAATAAGAACTTGCTCAACAACTGACTCTCTGAAGGTCAGAAGTACAAGGTATCCCTGCTTGAGGTACCTGTACATTCATGTAAAGAGAAAGACACACATCTGAGAGAAGAACTGCCAAATGAATGCAGAAATAACAATGCATTTGCCTTTCTACCAGTCTGGATTTATTCACTTGGAAGGCCCCAACAATACTTAGAGGCTTTGACCCTCTTGATACTGATCCTTTCAGCATCTCAACTATACTACTTTGTAAAAATACCAACTAAGCCACTTATATTTCTCACCTTACAACATGGGATTGCACAGAGACTGCAGAATCTTTTAAATATTTACTGCATTGCACTTTAGAAAAGAAATATCATTACATGGATACCTTGACTAAGAAGTGCTGAATTTGTCCTCAGAGTATATGTTTGTTTCTTACTTGAGTTCTAGCCTACAGAAATTAAGGAAATATGCAGACAGACTTTTCTAACAAAGATGACAAGTACACAGGATGGAATAAGCTGTGTTTCTCCATTAGATACAAACAGAAAATGTGTTATCAATTTCCTTTGCAAAGTCATATACTTTAAGCAGTCGAGTAGCCATATGGAAGAAGAACCAATGCCTACTTTGTCCCTAGAACCACCAACATTCTCTTACCTTTTTTAGAACAGTAGCCTTGTACAGGTTCGCCATCTTACTGGTCTGGAAAGCCTCATATTCCATTTCCACAGCACATGAATGGGCATCTGAGCTGAAATACACCCACAGTTTGATAAACTAAGGTTAGATATTTTGCTTAAATGACAGAGGAAGTACTCAACACTTTCCTGTAAAAATTAACTGTGGAATCTGTGCTTCAGCAGCAGCCAAAATTAAATTGTAATGCACAAATATTGGATGGGCTAGCTATGGCATTTTTCTGTGACTGAATGGCAGGCCAGAAGGTAAAGGCCCAAGAACATGTCCTTCTTTAGAATCTCTCTAGTTGATTGAGCAGGTACTTCCATACAACTTCTCTCTAGTTCTGTATAAGATCAATTGTGCAGCATATTGCTATTCTCTGGTGGGAACAAAAGAGAATTGCAACCTTTGGATCAAAGGTTCCAAAGGTTAACCATTGGGAATTCTTTTTTAAATATATAATGTGAATCATTCTTGTAAAAAATGTACACCATAATGCAGGAAAAACTGCACAAATACACATTTTGTATCTAATGTAAGTACTACAGTGTCAATAGTGTGACGCCTAAAAGCACACTAATTCTGTTTTTTAACTTTTAAGTGTGACATGCACTTTGAACTAGACAATTTGCTTTCAGTTTTGAACTGCAGGTTACAATCAGTTTTTCCATAGCTCAAAATACTGCACAGCATGCTAATTTATTTGCTTATGCTATTTATAGACTCCCCATGGCAGCATCTTTCCCAGGGCACAAAAAATAAGCATAGAACAAAAATATTATACTAAAAGGAAACATGGGATGTTAAAATGATAGATGCTGCTGCTGAAATCTTATTTATACAACTGACAATAAACAAAGCTGTTTAGATCTTGATAATACACTTGGCCAATACTGGTGACATTAAAAAATCAAGGTTATAATAACGTATATACCTCAGTCCCTTGATAATACAGTGTCTATACATGAAGGACTGTGTTCTCCCTGTTTCCTGCCACCATCACTTTGAGTGTATGGGCATGTACATCAACAACACATGGGACCATTGCTTGGAACAAGATGCTTGTACTTTTTATAGCACATGAAGGAAAGGTTGGATGTGGGTGATGGAAAGAACACAAAGCCTTCTATGCTATGCAGTGACCCCTTGTATCATTTGCATATGCACCCATTGCTTACATTGATGAGCCAAGGCAAAAAGGGATCTATTGAAACTTGTGGGAGTCTTCCCCAAAACTGGATTATAAATCCTACCCATCTCTTGTTGGTGCTGCTTGCTGGTTGTTGTTTAGCGCTTCTTCCAGCATTTTTAGGCAGTGCTCTCTAGCCTAAAATCATGAAAAAAGATGGGAACCCATTTCAGATTAAAAGGAAAGTGAAGCATCATCTTACTTGTGGTTCTTGGACATGTACAGTTTATACCTACTAGTGGCTTGTCTAGCTTAGCCTTTTAAAAAGGGTAAGTTTGTACCTATGGTTCACCAATAAAATGGTACTTGGTTTTTAATACCCAGCATCCTATTTTACATAGTCACTGCTGCCCACCATGGCTCACACTGGCATGAACCATGCAATGTTTGAATATTCAAGCTGTGGCTTGTCATGTTTTCTGAAACTCAGTGGAAAGGGTTCTGCAAGGGACGGGCAACCTTCACATAACTACTGAACTCCATACAACCCCTCACACAACACAACAAACCATGATCAGAATGTTCAAAATAGCCATCTGCATGCATCACCATGTGCGATAGCTCATCATAGTTTAATAAGCTATAGAGACCTGTCTAATCATGCAAACTGGTCTGGGGGCGGTGTACACATGCATGCACACCTGATAGTGAGTTTGAGGGAGAGTTTAAGGTCAAGATCAAAATTTAATGTACTTTCCAATGAAAGAATCATAATAAGCAGAAAAAACTGAAACATGAAACTAGACCTTTTTACATTGCCCCTCAGAAATGGAGGCCTAATGATAGATCTCTAAATATGGTTAGGACCATGGTTCACAGTGGGTAAAGCAACTGCTTTGCATGCAGAAGATTCAAGGTTTAAATTGTCAAAATCTCTAGGGAAGACTGGAAAATCTCCTGCTTGAATCCCTGAAGAACTGCTGCCAGTCAGTGCTGACAATTTTAGGCAAGATGATATAATGGTTTCGACCCTGTATGTTTAAGGAAGCAGTTTATGTACATAGATCCTTCTTGCTTTACTACAATAATAGTAAAATGTATCTATTTATGGACAACTTAGATGCTCTAAAAGTTCTAAGGTATTAAACAAGCTGATATCATGACCAAGCTGTCCTCCTGAAAAGACTAAATGCACATGAGTTCCTTTAACTTTCTCAGCTGGGTTATGAACTGTTTTATAGCATTTGCTGTACTTCCTGCATCTTCACCAATTTATCACTTTTCCTAAAAATGAGCAACTAGATAGCATACATATTATACTTCTATTCCTATACCATTCTTTTACACAACTTTGATGCTATCCCTTTTGTTAATGCATACCAATACACCACTACATTGCCTAAAAAAATTCCAGTGGTGGGGAACATACGGCTCACAAGTGGATTTCATATTAAGACTTGCTTGGAGGTGGTGGCAGCGACACACCACTGACAGAAAGAGCTGGGGTGGCTCCATCCACCGTCACATTTGGCCCAATTTACTTTTCCCATGGGCTACTGATCCATCAAAGAAAAAGATTCTTGAATCCTGTTTTATTCCTCAAGTGCATGCTCATCTGTACTACTTCCTTGCTAGATATTCTGCCACTTCAAACATCAGGCAATACAATTATTATTATTATTATTATTATTATTATTATTATTATTATTATTACATTTCTATGCCGCCCCTTGCCGAAACCTCGGGGCGGCTTACAACACGATAAAATACATTGAAATACAATAGCACATAATAAATTACCATTAAATACAAAAATACAAAAAATACATTGATTTACAAATATAAGATTAAAATTATCAGTATAAATTAAGTAAATAAAAATATAGGAGGAGAAAGAGAAGGAAGAAGAAGTTGCCCTGGCCAGATCATATGTTTTAACAATTGAAATGATGTTTAAATAAAAAGGTCTTTACCTGGCGCCGAAAAACCAGTAACGACGGTGCCAGGCGGACCTCTTTGGGGAGTGAATTCCATAGGTTGGGCGCCACCGCAGAGAAAGCCCTCCTCCGAGTACTTACTCTCCTAATTTCTTTCATGGAGGGTTCCCGGAGAAGGGACTCTCCCGCAGATCTCAAAGGGCGGTCGGGCATATACGGACGTAAGCGCTCGTTCAGGTAGCCAGGACCCAAGCCGTTTAGGGCTTTATAGGTCATAATCAACACCTTGAATTGGGCCCAGGCTTCAATGGGAAGCCAGTGAAGCTGACGGAGGACTGGAGTCATGTGAGCATAACGCCCCATCAGCAACCTGGCAGCTCTATTTTGCACCAATTGAAGTGTTTGGACTGTCTTCAGGGGAAGCCCCACGTAAAGCGCGTTACAGAAGTCTAGGCGGGAAGTCACCAGCGCGTGTGTCACCGTCGCCAGGCAGTCATACTCCAGGTAGGGGCGCAGCTGATTAATCAGCCGAAGCTGAAGGAAGGCGTTCCTCGCCACCGCTGTCACCTGAGCTTCCAAAGAAAGCTCCGGGTCGAGGAGTACTCCTAAGCTGCGGACCTTATCCCTAAGAGGGAGTGTTGCACCATTCAGGACCAGGTCAAATCCACCCTCTCCGAAACCCGATCCGCCAACCAACAGGACCTCCGTCTTGTCTGGGTTGAGTTTCAGTTTATTTGCCCTCATCCATTCCCTTACCTCGGCCAAGCACCGGTTCAGCACAGCCACTGCCTCACCTGGATTAGTGGAGAACGAGAGGTAAAGCTGGGTATCATCAGCGTATTGATGATTCCGCAGCCCACACCTCCTGATGACCTCTCCCAGCGGTTTCATATAGATGTTAAATAGCAGAGGGGATAGAATGGAGCCCTGTGGTACTCCATGGCATAGCTGCCATGACGTAGAGACATGGTCCCCCAGCACTACCTTCTGGAATCGACCGTTGAGATAGGAGCGGAACCACTGCAGAGCAGTGCCTCCAACCCCCAATCCCGCAAGTCTATCCAGAAGGATACCATGGTCGATGGTATCGAAAGCCGCTGAGAGGTCCAGAAGAACCAACAGGGATGTACTCCCCCTGTCCTTCTCCCTGCACAGGTCATCGTACAGGGCGACCAAGGCAGATTCAGTACTGTACCCGGGTCTGAAGCCGGACTGAAAAGGATCCAGATAATCAGTTTCATCCAAGAGTGCTTGGAGTTGTCCCGCCACCACTCGCTCCAACACCTTGCCCAGAAACGGGATGTTGGCCACAGGTCTATAGTTAGTGGCCATCTCTGGATCCAGTGACGCTTTCTTCGGGACCGGTCGTATTACCGCCTCCTTTAAAGGGGCAGGCACTCGACCCTCCCTCAGAGAAGCGTTAACCACTTCCAAGATCCAGGTCCCAATCCCGTGCTTGGAGTTATTTATTAACCAAGACGGGCAAGGATCCAATAGGCAAGTGGTGGGACGTACTCGTCCAAGCACCTTGTCCACATCATCGGGCCGCAATAATTGAAATTCCTCCAATAATTTTGGACCAGACGGTAGCATTGGTGACTCCTCAGAGACCTCCGATTCATTAGTGGAGTCCAGCTCGTGACGAATCTGAGCGATTTTCTCCCTGAAATGCCTGGCAAAGTCGTCACAGCGGGCCTTTGAGGGTGGCATCGGATCTTCCTTAGGACCCGGGTGAACCAGGCCTTGCACCACTCGAAAAAGCTCCGCCGGACGGCATTGTGAGGAGGCAATGGAAGCGGAAAAAAACTTCTTTTTCGCCGCCTTCACCGCCACAGCATAGGCCCGATAGTGGGCTCTCAAGTGTGTTCGGTCAGATTCATTCTGTGATTTCCTCCACCTACGCTCTAGCCGTCTCCCAACTCGCTTCATCGCCCGCAATTCAGGTGTATACCAAGGGGAAGAGCGGACTCTGCCCAGTGGGAGAGGACGCTTGGGAGCAATCGTGTCCACAGCCCTGGTCATCTCTCCGTTCCACAGTTCGACCAGAGCCTCGACAGGAGCACCAGTCTTGTCAGCCGGAAACTCCCCCAGGGCCTTCAGGAATCCATCCGGATCCATCCGGCTCCGGGGGCGGGCCCATACAATCGGGTCCGCACTCTTATAGAGGGAGAGGCCGCTCTCGAGCACAAACCTCACCAGGAGGTGATCTGACCATGACAGGGGAGTCAAACATAAGTTCCTCACCCTCAGGTCATCCTCTTCCTGCCCCGTCGTGAATACCAGGTCCAGAGTGTGTCCACGTTCATGGGTCGGGCCGATGACGTGTTGAGACAGGCCCATGGCCGTCACAGAGGCCATGAAGTCCTGAGCCGCCCCGGTCAGTCCAGACTCGGCATGGAGATTGAAGTCCCCCAGGACCAACATCCTGGGGGTCCTCAACACCAGGTCCGAGACGGTCTCTGTCAGCTCAGATAGGGAGACTGCTGGGCAGAAAGGTGCACGGTACACCAATAGAATCCCCAATCTGTCTCGTTCGCCCAACACCAAGTAGAGGCACTCCAGCCCTGGTCTCAAAGGGACCGGAAGACCCGTGAGAGAGATGGAGGCTCTGTATAGCAGCTTTGACTGTATTAACCACTCTTGCACCAATCACTGTCTCTTCTTACTTTCACTGTGATTCTGGCAATTTTCCTGCTGGCTGCATCCTTCAAGGGACAATCAGCATCTACCATGAAGAGAGAGATGTAAATTAAACTGTCAGTCTCCATGTTTTCTGACACACCACCTTACTTGCACAAGATGAATAGATGGGTTTAAGTTATAAGCTTCCTGTTTCCTCAGCTCCCTCTGCAATTTCTAACCCTCCTTTCTACCATTAACAAGATACTGTAAACCAAGATGCTTCCAGACGAAGAGATCCTAGAGCTTCCCAGTCATCTCTCTCCTACTGTAACATACAAGGACGACTGCATTTTCCTATACTTTGTAGAATAGGTTACAGTGTATGCTGTTGAATAGGCTGAGTGCTTCCTGTGGCATTTCATTTATACGAGTGGATGTATTGTTGTTGAGGGTGGTGAAGGCTGAGTGCACCTAGTACTGCTTATTACTCCGCTAACTTTTTCCATTTTTGTTTAAATGGATTATATTAAGTTAATAGATTAACTTACCATTTTGCCTACATTTTAAATTTGTTTTTGGATTTTATTTTTTAAGTTTTAACAGCATAAGAACATAACGAAAGCCATGCTGGATCAGACCAAAGGTCCATCTAGTCCACCACCCTGTATACATAGTGACAAAGCAGCCGCTCACAGGATCCCTCAAGCAAGATGGGTGCCACACCTCCTCCTGCCCAGCTGCTCAGCAACTGGTGTATGCAGGGATGCCACCCCTGGTAAAGGAGGCAGAACATTACCCAAGGCTAGCATGCACTGATAACCTCCTCCCTCATAAATCTGCTCAATCTCTTTTTAAAGCAAGCCAGATTGGTGGCCATTACCACTTCCCATAGCTGTTGCAAGAAGTACTTCCTTTTATTTGTCCTAACCTTCCCACCTATCAGCTTCATGGGGCGACACCAAGTTCAAATGCTATGGGAGAGAGAGAAAACACACCATGCATTATTTTAAGGACTTATATCATGTCTCCCCTTATTCACTTTTTTTAAAAGTGGAACAGTCCCAGCTGTTGTAGCTGCTCCTCATAGGGGAGCTGCTCCAACCCTTTGGTGATTTTTGTTGCCCTTCCCTTTACCTTTTCCAACCCAGTAATGTTCTTTTTCAGGTAAAATGACTAGAACTGAACATAATATTCCAAATGTAGTTGCACTAAAGATTTGTATAAAGGAAGTAAAATTTTCTATTTCATTCCTAAATATGCCTAACATGGAGTTTGACATCTTCAAAGCAGCTGTGGGCTGACATTTACATCCACTACTACCACAAGATCCTTTTCATGCTCAGTCACTGCTACTTTGGATTCCATCAGCATATACTTTTAAGCAGGATTGTTTTGTCTTAACATGCATTATTTTACATTTGCTTATACTGAACTGCATTTACCATTTTGATGCCCATTCTCCACAGCTTGGAGAGATCCCTTTGGAGCTCCTCACAACCCCTTTTGGTTTTAACCACCCTAAAAATGTTAGTGTCACCAGCAAGTTCACTACATACTCCTAATTCCAGATCATTTATGAATAGGTTGAAAAGCACTGGTCCTAATAAAGAACCTGTGTGAAAAACCATCCTAAAGAACAACTAAAGCTGTTGTCCCCAGTATGAGTACCATAGCACCTGTGGGCACCTCATGAAGGGGTACCCACAGTGTGGTACCTCCAGGCACTCAAGATGTCCCCTCTTTCTAATATTTTTGCATATGGATTTGTATGAAATGCATGCATCTTTCTAGCAATTACATAGTCTTCATCCAAAGTAGACTAAATAGGCACTCATTGATGTCCATATGCACCTGTTCATATATCAAAAGTGCTGTAAGGTCTTAAATTCACTGGATTTATTATATAAGGTAAATGTTTATCCTTCCAATTTTGCAATATCACAATTTGTCAAACATATGTGGAAAACCAATTCCATTTGTAATATTCTATGAAGCAGTTAAACAGTTTAAAAGAACATGTATGCTGGTGACAATTAAAGTGTTTTCCAATATAAATTATCTGTGTGATAACCTCCTGCCAGAAAGCAACTACTGGACATTGCTGAAACATGTAAAGTATTAGCTGTAGTGCCCTACCAGCAATTAGCTGAATTAGGCAATCTCTTATTAAAGCAACCTCACAGCCCCCAAAATTTTGCTGAACAAGGTACAGCCTAAAATACATACATGTCACAGGTAGACAAAGCAAGAATCCACTAATGTAAATATGATGTGGTGGTGCCCAAAACAGTTTCTCAAATTTACAAATGTGCCTACAAGTCCAAAAAGTTTGGGGATCCCTGAACTAGAAGAAGTGCACAAGAAAAACCAAATAAACCCCTTTCCTACATATGCCACAAGCATACTCCTGAAATGTATTTATGCATTTATTTATATTGTCCAATAGCTGAAGGTTCTCAACAATTTAAAACATAAATACATTACAAAAGTAAATGGTTAAAACAACAGTTTAATTAAAAAATAAGAACTAGAGTAAGACCAAGCAACAGTACAAGGATTTAAAATATAGTGAAAAATTATGAGGACAGGAATGAATAACATGCCCATCTCCTAGGCGGAAAAAGCAGAGGAAGTGCCAATCAGTCTGTGGGAGTTTGCCACTTTTTACGGACTGGATGGACTTTTTAAAGGGTACCTTTAGTGCCACCTTGGTAAGGAAACTGTTTAGAAGCAGCTGTATTAGAAAGCTGATGCAAGAAAAAAGGCAAAAAGTGATGATAAAAGAGAAAAATGATGGGAATTTTTAAAATACAAAAACACATACATAAAAAGGATGCAAGGAAAGGAGATTGGAAGACAAGGAGGAAAGAGTAAAAAGTTGTAGGTAACAAGTGGAAAGAAAAAAATGCTAGAAATTGCAGAGAGAGATAAAATCCTGAGGCACCACAATGATGGCCGAAGAACAACTCAGGGAATGGGCAGGAACCCCTCCTATATACCAAGACTGAGGGTAAAGAAGGGGTTCCCACCAAACTGTCTCAACTGTAGAATCTTTCCAACAACAGCCACGCAGAGGCCATATGTGTAGTATAGAGGCCATGAAGAAGAACTAAATCACTGGAGTTGTGACAAATGTCCAGCATGGTACCTAGTAATGAAGAAACCATCCACAATTTTCCTGTGACTTGGGAAATGGACAAGAACAATGTCCTACCCCCCTGCCCCTTTTCATTTGGCCAGAGCTTGGTTTAAATCTAGTTTACTTAGCAATAAATCTATATTAGGCCATGCTATCTTTGGATTTCAGTTCAGTCTCACATGGAATCCTGGGCTCTTTAGTTTCATGTACAGGCAGTGTTTGCTGTTGTAAAAGAGAAGTTTCTTACTATGGATTCCTATTTTGTGTATCTTCTGGAGGGCATTCCAAGACATTTGGGTTAATACCTCCCACTGTTCAACAGGCAGAATCCAATCCAAACAAACCTCTTGAAGGAGAATGAATGTTCTGCCTTCCCGGACTGAGCTGAAAAAGCAAATAGCCCCTCAACCTTGAACTGAAAACAAGGAGATTAACATAACAGAACAGAGAAAACTGAAAACAAGTGGAAAGGCACCAAAATATATCGCCATGAAAATAAGAATGCAACACAAAACTAAAAAGAATAACCAGGTCTAAAAGACTTTATCTACCAGCTTCACATGGCAGAGGCAGAAGCTTATAAGGAAAATGTAGGTATGCTGATTTGTGTGTGGAACACCCCCAGAAAAACATCAAGTATGTTCTGCTTAGCAAAGGTGTGTAAGAAAGCCCAGTTGCGTAACTTGCAAACCACTTCCCCTGAGTGGCTGAAGTGCATTCCCACTGCCAGGGTGCAGGCAGGCTAAACTTGTTATCTTCCATTATTATCACATGCAGAAGCCACAGCTAACTTGCCTAAACCTTAAATGGAAGGCTCAGCTTAGGTGTAAGTTCTAGGGATTTGTCAAGTCAGACTTGAAATCCTGGTAGAAAGATTAAACAGCTAGTCACAACTGTGGCATTGAAATTTAACTATCAGGCTGTCTATCAGGGGAACCCTTGAACTCAGAGGGTGGATTGGCATGCACAACAACTCATCATGACAGATAACCATGGGGAGAGCAATCAGCTGGAAGGTACTGACCCATGTTGGGGGCACCTCCAGCCAGCTGATTCCCCTCCTCCCGGTCAACCATGAGAGGCTTTTTCTTAGGTGTGTGGAGTGGAATAGAATCAAGTGAGTGATCACTCTGCTCCTTCCCAAAGATCTCTGGAGCAGGAGGCAGCAGTAACCAGGAAGCCTCTAATAAACCAGGGCAGCTGTCAGTGGAACTCTCTGGCTATCCACTTGGCAAAAGCAGCAACAGCCTCTTTTGCCAAGCAGCTCCCTTGTTCTGGGCTCTGCAGAGTTGGATGACACATAAAGCACTCATGATAAGCAGAAACCATAGAACATACCGCTGCTTCTGCAGACCAACCCTACCAGGCTGAAATGCCACAACTGGACTAAGATGATATGAGAAACAAACAGTAAGAAATCACCACAGCTTGTCACTGTTGTGTGAATCTAGCCACAGTGTCATGAAGAATTCATATCTATTTCAGAGCAGTAGTTATCTGAAGAAGCCAACAGGCTCCTGCTGTCACTCTTGGCCCCTCAGGGCTTGGGAGAGAGCGGCAGCTCCCTAATAGAAATGCTCTTTCTTTTACAGCAGCCTCAGAGAAAAAATGCGGGAAAATCCCCAGCTAGAACGCCTTCATCTTGGCTCTAACAGCCACGGTGCCTCCTGTTTCTGAGGGAGCTGGGAGTCTAAATGTTTCCTAAGAAAAAAGTCCCCCAGGAATAAAACCTGGAATCACAGAGTCTGTCACCCTATCTGTTTCTGAGTGGGAAAAGTTCTGGTATAGTTAATCTCCTGAGGGACAGTTCCCTCTATCTTGGACTGACAGACAAGTTTATTTTGGTGGGGGAGGGAACCTCACTCAGCAACTTTGTGAAAATGCTGTGAAGGGAACTCAGGAAATCTCTTCAGAGTAACCCCAGGAAGCCAGCATTTCTGTTCGTTCTTTCTGTGGTCCAATCTGCCCCAGAACAGGGAGCCTTTTTTTTTTCTTCCCCTGATGGGACTTCTACAATCTAAAACGGGACAGTGACTAGCTTGGCAGCTCATTTCCCTCCAGATGCAAAACTGTGTCTTTAATATCCTGTGCCAGAAACTATTTGACTAAAGCAAGGAGATAGCAGTGGGCCTGTCACTACTCAAGTTTGGCACCCACTGAGAAGAATAGGGAAGGACCACAGATAGATTCACTCTTCCTGGCCCCTTGAGTGGTCTGCCAGCCAATGCAGAGGAGCGACACTGCAGCCTCCTCTTGTGCTCTGAGGCTTCTGTTGCTGTGTACAGATGACGGTGCACAAACTATTCCCACGTGGGTCTCGGGAAGGGGCAGGCTGCATATTTGAATGGGGAGGACATGGCTGGCAGTGGAGTGAAACCTGTATCCACAATCACTAATGGGGAAGGGAGGGGTGCTGCTCCTTATGTCACCCTTTGCCCAGTGTCCTCAGGAGAAAACAAGGGTGGAGCAAAGCTTTTCACACCACAGTGAAGAGAAAGCCCAACAGCCCAGGGACTATCTTGTCTAGGAAAGCGTGCTGTTCCTCCCTGCATCCAGGAGCAGCTCGCACCGCAGCATCCAAGGCTGCTCGCTCTAATGAAACCCAGAAAAAGTTGCAGGGGTGGGAGGGAAGAAATGCGAGGAGAATAAAGAGCAACTGACAAAAATAATCTGAGGAAAAACTGAGCTCAGTGGGGACCCTGTCTTGTCAACATTAGGCAGGGCCAGCCTGGAAAGGCAGGACGGCCCCTCCCCTTGAGCAGATCGTTTGGAATAGACCCTGAGTGTTGGCCAGTGGGAAGGGCTAACCCAATGTGCCAGAATGCCCTTCAGGAGATACCAGAGAACAGCTTTCTAGCATCCATTAAACATTCTGCAGCAAAAAGGCCTCATCAGCTAAGACTGTATGAATGGTACCTTCTGATTCCTCAAAAATAATAATGAAAAACTTGTCTAAAAACACTCTGATTTATGGAGTAACATAGAAATTTACCTGGAGGGACAAAGTTGTCTTCTGCTGGTTCTTTTCCCTGAATTAAATCAAAGGGAAGAAAATCAGAGGTATACATCAGGAACAATGTATTTCAGTGGACCAAAAGGAAACACAAAATATACTATATTAAACTGGCTTGGATTTAGAATCCAAGACTTGTACCCAGAGGACAGATTAAATCTCCCAATGTCTACTTAACAGTATTTACTCTAAGCCAAAGCTAACTGGCAATTATAGTAATTTATCCCCACATTTCACTTTTTATGAGTGACTATCAAAGCACAAGGAAAGCCACCCACTTCCATCCCACATTGCCTGATCCATACACATGCATTCAGAAGACAATTGGGCAGACATGTTTCTAGTCACATAAAAAGGATGATGCAACCTTAAAAACTTCTCTCATGGAGCAATGAAGAATGTAAGAAAAAGTATTCTCCTCCTACTCTCAGAGAAAACAAGAAGGTTCAGGTTCAAGAGAAGGCAACAAGCACACAGTATTTTTTTAGGCATCAAATGTTTTTTCACACATTAAGATGATTACGCAAAACAAGCCCAATGGCTGGCATAATTTTTACCTACGCTAAGGGCTGCAATCTTAAAGACACTTACCTGGGAGTAAGTCCCACTGAATTTAGTAGGGATTATTTCTGAAAGACTGCTATATTTGGTCATGTCATGAGAGCTGACTCACTTGAAAAGTCAATCATGCTGGGAGTGATCAGTGGAAAAAGGAGAACCCTCCCTCCCACCTCCCAGCACCCATTCACTGGACACCATAAAGACAGGCGCTGGGATGGACATGGCAGTCTTGAAGGAAGCAGTACGAGGCAGAGAAGCATGGAGAACAATGATCCATAGAGTGGCCAAGGGCTGGACATGACTGAATGGTTGAAGAAGATAAGATCTTCTAAATAGACACATACGGGCTTGTGCTGCCTACTTACCCAAACACACCGCCTTTTTGTGGAAACAGCCCCTGCCTTCTGTAGAAAGGATACCAACTTACCTTGCGTAAATTCATCTGTTTCTTATAAAAACTGTTCCATTCTTTCTTTTGCTTCTCTTCATTTGCTTCAGCCAAGCTCCCACTGTCTTCATCATATCTAAATATTCATCCAGAAAAAAATACAAAATGTACAGGAGAATCTTGTAAAATTCCAATCTTATCAGCAAGGAACCCTAACCAAGCAACTACTATTATCATAGTATTTCAGAGACTAGAACCACATCCACAGCCAGACTTCCTTGCAAGTCAGAACCATCACATCACCTGGTACAGCCTGAAATTAAATTTAGAGTCTGTGATCTTCTCATAATCAATAGTGACCTCCATATTCCTGTCACCAAGTCCAAGTACATATGAACTGTCAGTATCAGAAACATACATGTTAAATAATAAATGTTATTTGTAAGGTCAGAAGCTCTTATAATGAGCACTTTCTTTGTTAAAAAGACTTGCCAACAAGTGTAGATTTATTGACTGGTTTTTGCAGGATTATCAAAGTCATGTACTAACTTGAACTAAATGGTATTTGTTGTTTGCTCGCTGTGTAAGAATTAAAGATGCTAATGGTACATTGAACAACAGGTACCAAAAAGTTATATAGTGCAAACTTTTTTTACCTAAGAAGTGCAATAATAGCCAATTTTTCCCTAACATTTTGTTTTAATGTTTCTGTTACACACTAGAATAAAACACAGGTAAAGAAGCAAAATAAGGGCACAATCCAGGCAATATTAAGCACTTTCTGATCTCACTGTTTCCAGCAAGAAAGCAGTGTTGAACACTTAATTCTCCCACTGAAACCACATTTTCTTACTAGACATCTGAAATATTTTTCTGAGAAAACTATCATGCTACTGTGAGCACATGATATCAGGGGGATAATTTAAGACAAAAAGGAGAGCCAGTGTGGCGTAGTGGTTAAGAGCCTGCGACTGGGACTCAGACAATCTGGGTTCTAGTCCCTGCTCGGCCATGGAGCCAACTGGGTGGCTTTGGGCCAGTCACAGACTCTCAGCCCAACCTACCTCACAGGGTTGTTGTTGTGGGGATAAGATGGAGGAGGAGATGTAAGCTGCCTTGAGCCCTTTGTAGGAAAAAGGCAGGATATAAATCGAAAAATAAAATAAAATAAATAAAGTGATGTGAGTCCAGGGTACTTGCAGCCAGGGTGCATAGTGCCCTGCTACTTGAGGCATGTGCAATTGCCTTGTTCCTCTGCTTGGACTCCCCACTTTTAAGTGGATGGATGGATGGAAAGACACTGGAACAATGTTCTAGCCCTGAATAGAAGAGCTGCTGCTGCCCGTTGTCCCTGCCTGCAATTGGGGGGGGGGGGGGTGGGGGGGGGTTGGGTGACATACAACTTGAAACATTTGTGACAGCCAATTGCATGTTTTATTAACTCAAGAGGGCTGCATCACTACATTTATCGTGGAAAAGCAGCTCTGCCATAATCTGAACCCAGCATTACCTTTTAAAACTATTTTCTGTTCATGCTTTTCATTTCCAAGTCCAGCATCAACTATTAGGCCTTTACCCAACTATAAGGTATAGCTGATCCATAAAGGAGCTTTGGATTCTGAGGGCATTCATTCCGCTTAGTCAACCAAGCTTACTGCAGCTTCTACCAGAGTCAGCTGAGCCAATGCATACCTTCTGTATCCTTTCTTTCCTCCTTCATACAGGTCTGAGTCATAGTCATTCCAAGCGGAAGAAGAGGGTCCAATGCAAGTTCTGCTCCAGGTATTGGTGCTGCGCTGTAGTGCCTCTACTTGCCTTTTCACTGCTACTGCATTCTTACAGTAATCACAGCACTTGTTGCACTGTGGTTTGCCATCCCCAAAGTACTTAGCTATGGCAGCATGACGACATCTAAGAGGCAAGCAGAGGGTATATTTCATAGCAAGCGAAAACAAGGAGACTGCTCTGCATAAATGGTCAGGCAAGTTCAGAATGAAGTTAAGATGGTGGGCAAACTACAAATAGGAAAAGGCAAATCTGTCACAATTAACATCATTTGCTTTTCGACATTTCTAGGAAACTTGAATTTTCTGGCATTCAATTTAAGATCCCTTTGAATACACAGTTTGGTAACCAAAAATGATTTGTTGACAGCCTCTCCTATCAGCTTTTAAGCAGAAATTATGACAAAAATACCAAAGGTGTTCAAAGAGTTACACATGTATTTCATTCAAGGTTGGTTCCCAGTGTCCTATTCCCCTTCCACACAGGCACTTGCAAATATCCAAAGGCGTTTATCAAGAAAAACATGGTGGTGCACACATTATTATCTCCATGTGAGATCAGGCTTGCAAGTGGCAAATGGATTATAAGCATTTACAAGTATAGAAATATAGAAAAATAGAAACAGAGTGAGTCAGAAGGGGCCTCCCCCAGGCTCCAGCCAGCTCCACTCATGACATGCCTACCATGTTCATGTCCAGCCTACCCTTTAACGCCCTCATTGGTAGGGCTTCAACCACCTCCCATAGAAGCCCATTCCATGCCCTAGGGGTCCTAACGATCAGGAAGTATTTCCTGGCATCCAAACTGAACCTTAGTTCCCTGAGCTTTGCATATGAACCCGTCCTTATGTTGTCTGAGCAAGAGTTCCTTTGGAAAAGGATGGGCCATGTTTGTTGGAAACATATAAGTTCCAATGCAGATTATTAAATATATTTAATATTTGTCAAGTTCTTTACAAGACATAAATGTACTGTTTTACAGACACGTCCTGAAATTTTTCTATTCCCCATATGTACTTTCAGGGCCTACTGAATATCAGTAGTAAGAGACCTTTGCACCCATATTTCACATTCTGAATAATGAAGCATGAGTGCACTGCTTGAAAATGCTATCACAATTTCTAATAGAGTATTTTGTTCACATTCTAAAATTTATAACATAGTAAAGATGAAGCACTCAAGAAAACGAATAAGACCATAGCATAAATTTGCCACTCCATTTGGGGTCTCCACTCTTGCATTTCCTGTAATATGCACAATATTCATAGGAAAATCTTGGCCTGCATTTACAAAGGGCCATTTGTATTTTTCCCAAAGCTGAATTGACCCCATCTGTGCATTACTTTAAGCAGATTATAACTGAATGTAAATCAAACTATTGCCACTCGTTTAAAAATAAACCCAAAGAAAATAAACCCAAAGTTATGCATTTGAACTCAGGTTTATTCAGTGTGCTATAATTCCCCAATGGGTGCTAAAGAACACTATTTGAATCCCTGCTAGAAATAGGCCAAAAATTCCAGCAGTTATTTTTGTGGCATTTCAAAAATGACATGAGAAATGTTTCCTACCACCCTGGTTATGCTCTGTTACAGGCAACAAGAGGGGAAGTGTTGAACAGAAAACCTACCTAGAGCTGGCAGCTTTGAGACGGCAGCAGTCTAAACAAGCAACTGTTTGTGCTAACACAGGAAGGGATGGTACCCTCAGGTAGGGAGAACTGAGCAGTGCCAGATACGGCACTGTGTGCTTCAGGTCACTGTCTGTAGCAACTAAGTGTGGGGTACTGAAGATGCAACAAAGCTATCTTTATAATCCCTGCAAAATGGCACTGATTCACACCACTCTTAGGCTTAAAGAAAGCACTCTTTTCACAACCATTGAAAGACTACATGTCTAATTTTTCTTCCATGCCTCTCCAGAAACTGCTTATACTACCAGGCTGGAAATGTCAAAGGTCCTCAGCCAGTCAATTCTTTGTTTTTCAGAAAAGAAGAAAGACAAAATAGAATTTCATCTGGCTGGGGGCACAACTTTTGGTTTTTAGTTAACAGCAACTCATAAATCTTAGCCATACTAATTCTTCCCTTCCTCCCTTTTATAGCTTTCATGATAGAAGAATAATCCCATATTCCCTGCCAAACACATACCCTAATGGGGAAAATAGAGCATTGATTGCTGAAAATATAAGAATCAATGTTTCAAGATCACAAATTCAATCTCTGGCAGTTTGATTATGGAAGATCTGCCAGGCATGCTAGAAAGTCTATAGTCTGCCAAAGTCATTAGCTGGCTACTGGGCTAGAATGGACCACTGTTCTGACTCAGAATAACTAGATCAGCATAACACCATTGTCCACTAATTGTAACATGAAAAAGTTACTGATAAAGTAGTCTTGACTTTTTCAAGGGATATCCTTAAAGAAAAACATAAATTCTTAAGTGTTTCTACATATCTTGCATACAGGACACATATTCTAGTTCTCGCCTTCCATTCTTCAGAGGACAGCTGATTCTTTTTCTGAAGCTAAGAAAGAATTTTGTGACCCAAAGAAAAACTAACTGAGGACAGACAAACAGAAGGAATCTATCTTAACGACCACCGAGGCCACATGAGAAAAGCTAAAAAACAGAGAAGAAACTCTGTACAAATCAAGAGTTACACAAGAAGCTTGCAACAAGTGTTGGTTTTGAAAACTCTTTCACTCTTCTGTAGCAGCAGCAAAGCTCTGTTTGTGCTCCCTCCCCTTCTTGGTGCACATGTAATATGAAACTCCACACCTCCTGGACCATTAACAACAAAAAAGGGAGGGGGAGAGCTTGCCCACGAGAGAGCTAAGCACAGTCAGAGACAGCAGCTGGCTGTCAGCAGCGGAGACAGAGGAACTGAGCCTGGAAAGAGATAGGAGAGAGAAAGGGTCAAAAATGGGGAGAAGAGCTCACATGAAATGACGGCAGAAAGAAAACAAAGGACAACAGAACAGCCATTCCCGCAACCACACTGGGGTAAGCCTAGCTTTTGCCTCTTCTCATCTTTCTACAGCATCTCAAGGGAAGTCTGGAATATTCAGCTTAAGCCTGTGTCAAGATACTAAGTGGCAACATGGGATGCCAGAGGAAAGTGTGAGAACACATTCGGTAAGGAGTGTGGAGTAGTGAGAAAAATGCTATTTGCTGGGTCAGTAAAGTTGTGCAGTTGTTGTTTTTAGTTTATAGACCAGCTATGGGAGCATTTTAAGTGACTTCCCAGAACTGGCCATAGTGTCTGACATTTTCAGACTACTTAAGTAAGATTCTACAGGAATTATATAGAAACTCCTTAGATTATGTGACAATCACTCAATTTGTGGCATATTTTGCCTCAGTAGTGAGAACTTTTGTCCCAATACCAAGACTTCCCCCTCCTTTCAGCAACTGAGCCCTACTGGTATTTCATATAAATCAGAGTTTGCCTCAAAATTCTATACTTGCACTTGGCTCACCAGCACAGTTAAAATGGATTAGCTACAAAAATATGGATTAGTTTTTAGTGAAATGTGTTACAGAGCAATGCTTTCGAATTTATTTTTAATTTTTGTGAATTGCTACCAGTGCTACAAGCAGCAACTTTGGTGTGGAATCCTATTTTACTGGGATCTGACACTTACCCAACCACATTATGCTCTAGCCACTAGGAAACACCAGTCACAGCAAGGTATTCAGCTCTCACATATGCACAGGTACACATGTGTACATTAGCATGCTACATAAAACAGAGAACCACCCTATTCACTAGCAACAATGGACCATCTAATGAAGATTCAAACCCAGGAACAAACCAGGGGACAGCAATACCAGCCATAGCAAAGAACTGTTCACCTACAAGTGAGAGATGTCAGCGTATGCCAACAATATCCTTCTACTACTAAGATAGGTCAAACAGACTCATTTTTATGCAAGATAATAAATGGACATAAATAATACATTAAAATGGTGCCACGCAAACTGTGAGGAGCATTTCAATCAGCATAGATATCCTATAACATACTAATTTTACCCAATTACACCCAAAAAGTTTTGAAGGAAGACTCAATGAAGTTCCTATTGTTAAAATTTGCTAGTAAATTCAACACCACTAAATTCACAGCAGCCCCACACGAGTTCTGGGAATGGCTAGCTTACAACAGAAACTAGCTGTCCTTTTACATATTCATCTTGCTATGTTCACTATCAACAGACTGAATTGGGCTGGCATGAAACTCTTCATTGTTTTTACTGCTCCAGTTAACATCTTGATCTTGCTACAAGTGTTGGAGATTTTTTCAGACCAGTAAGCAGGGCACATTGAGAAGAACAGCGGAATGCTGCCTTAAAACAGAGGACTTTAATCTTTAAACTATGGAACACCTGAATGGAAATTCACTTTTTCCTGTCCAGTTTCTAGCTAAGTTTGCCCACATCAATATATTATAATACTGCCTCGAGCAACAACCAAGTCACCCTATAAAGATTCCCACATTTTACTTTTACTCCTGAGCTCCTATTCAGCAATCATTGTCATGAAAGGTAATCCTCAGCTATGGCAGAGGACATGTTTTATAAAATCTGACCCCTATCTTTGATAGGAATCCCAGTAAATTTTCAAAACCATAAAATATAAAAGCCATCCCATTAAATTCCTTACATGTTTTCCAACAGTAATTAAAAACAAAGACTTAAAGTCAGTCATTTATCTCCAAAATGTCTGCTGATGTTCCTTCTCGTTATCACGTTTTTCAGCAGTGTCCTTTTATTTATATTCTCAAGCTGAGAAGTCTACCAGGCTGAACAGAGACATAATATTTGGCGCCAAGTGAATCAGATTGCATGAAAATTCCAAAGCTAGGGCACTGTAAGAGGAAAGTCTTGTTTCTTGGTCACTTCTTCCCTTCACTTCTTGAGGCAGGGAAACCTGAAGAAGGGTCTCTGAAAATAATTCAGGCAGATTCTTGTGGGAGAGAAAGCAGTCCTTTTGGGGCTCCTTCAGGCCCCATTTCCCTAAAATTTTGAAGATTTTTTAAAAAAAACCTACAGCAGTCAATCATATATATTTCCTGCTAACATTATCTCATCTTTTCTGGATTCACCCATCACAGACACTGGTTAAGGATCACAATTTTTCCCCTTCCAACTAAAGTCTTGGATGTCATCTGTATAGTAATGAGAGTCTCTTTGACAGAACATGTAGTATCTTTCTTAGCAACTGCTCACAGATAAATAGAATAGGTAACAAATTATACTGTTATGACTCTATAGTCTAAGTTTAAATTAGTTATTCTGCTATAACATAGTGTACCTCACATTTTTTAAGTATTCCAAATTATCTGAACATATTAAATGTATCCTTCCAGCTCTCTGCATGTAATATGAGATAAAATGAAAGAATACATGGCCTTCTATGGGCAGCTGAACTAAATTACTGATAAGGCCTTTGCAGTTGTACAGTTTTCTGTTCACGGGACAAGCTATATGCTCAAGTGTACCAGAAGGAATTCATGATAGCTTTGCTGCTACCTGTCAAGGCTTTCTCCTATTGAAATATTCTATTCGTCATTTGTTGCCAAAGCCAATTAAACCTAATTACGACCCTGAAGTATCTGCAGCCATTTTTCAGCTGGCACCCCTTTATATATTCCCAAAGAAGTGTATTGTTGGGTTTTGTGCATAAAAAGCGAAACAAAATGAGAGCAACCCAGGCCACATTCTTCCCAACAGATTTCTTTCCACCATTCCCCACTTCACATGACTTATTAAAATTTTCAGGCTGTCACTGGTTCTGCCTAGCTTGCAACAGACAAGGTCTATGTGCTGACAAACCTGTTATGCAAAAGAATTAGAATACTCCTATAGAAGGGCACAATAATTAAACTATCCTTCCTTCAGTCAGAAGCCTCAATTCCAAGATTCCTCTTACAAACAACTGCCTTTTGTAAAAGGATCTGTGGCTTCTGTTAGTTGAAGGCAGAAGAAAGTTGAATAAAAAGCAAGAATCTAGGAAAGGAAAAAGGGAGAAAAACAACTTTTTTTTTTTTTGGCAAAAATGCTGAAGTGTTTGGCAGGAGCCTTAAACAGCGGCTAAGGGGAAATATGCAATTTGAAACACATGTCTGGGAATAAGAAAGCAGATCCCTGGCTTGTGTTACCAGCTGTCATACAGTAAAGAAACCTCTCAATTGCCATAAAGCACAATTGCCAAAAAGCATTTGCCAAAGGCTGCACACTACATTAAGCTAGTATGCTACCCATTCACATCAAGAACACACAGACTGCACGATGCCTTGGAGTAACTATAACCATGAATGCAACCTTACTCTGCTTTTCACAAGTGTTGGCCTCTGTTCCCTTTCACTAAGAATCCCATACAAGCACCAGCACGCCATCACTGAGTATATGTGTTGTTGTACTCACTGAGCAGGGGAAAGGCACTTGAAAATGATGGACTGAAATAAAGTTACCCTAGTAAGAAATGTCACAGCAAACATTTTCATCAACTCTACCCTAGATTTGCAATCTGTACCCCCTGATTAGTTAGAAGTGCTTCTACTTGCCAAATCAAAAGTATGGACAAATTTAATAATAGAATTATCCAAATAAGCATTCTGGAGTGTTCATCTACACCTGACCTCTATTTCCCAAAACAGTTTCTGAAGTTTTTTTTTTAAGTATTCCCAAACTACAAACAGCACAATATGTATTTATTTATTTAGCACTTTTATATACTGTCTTGTAGCCACATGGCTCTCTAGACAGTTTACTTAATAGAAACCAAAAACATAAAGCTTCATACATATACCATTAAAGCCACGATTTTGATAAATAATAAAAATAAGGTAATATCACCCTCATAGCAGGAACACCAAGTAATAGTTTAACAACTGACTGGAAAAATCTTAAAATGTCACCATTATAAATACTAAAATTTACTTTAAAATACCAATTAAAATCAAATCACAACTGAAATAATCAACAATTAAAATGCTCCTTGAAGAAAAATGTCATGATCTGATTCCAAAATGAGTATAAAGATGGCACTTGGCAAATACCTCTGGGAAGTCAATTCCACAGATAGGGTGCCACAACCGGGAAGGCCCTGATCCAGGTTGCTGTCCTCCTAACTTCCTTTAGAGACAGCTCCTGGAGCAGGACCTTCGATGACAATCTTTTTGTTCAAAGCAAACTCCTAACACCAAACCTATTGAACATTACAAAAAAATCTAGCTTACTAGCCCATTTTGCACACAAAAGCATCCAAATTTGGGTGCCCACATGTAAGAGAAGGTGTATGAACAATTTATTCCAATATCCTGTTATCTTTTCCCATGTTCTGGCAGTGTATGATTTGGAAGTTAAAGGAAAGATTACAAAATCTGTTTTCACAAGGAAGCATGAGCATGAAGCAATGTTTCTCTAGAGTTTTCCCAGCATTACTTGCTCTTACAAAACAGGCTATAATGTGGTAAAATTCAATGGTTCAGTGGCTCAAGTTCAGTATGGTACAATGAATACAAGAAATTCATTCACTTATAATTCCTTTCAGATTCTACCAAGGGCCATCAACACTGAAACTTAACAGAGAGAGAGAGAACCACTTTTCATAAGTCCTCCTGCTCCAACTGCTACCCTCTTAGACTTCGGCAGCCAGCTACTCTATGTGACAGAACAGAGAGACACTTTCTATTGACCTGTTTTCATTTGTACTCTGTGTGTGTGTGTGGTGGGGTGGGGGTGCTGCCTTGTTTTGGCACTGAAAAAAGCTGGAATATGACAATATCGAAATATGATGTTTACCATCAGGACCAGAGTGGTTACAGTGCTGGACTGGGGACTCAGGATATCTGGGTTCTAGCCTTTACTTGACCATGAAGTTCACAGGATGACTTTGTGCTAGTCACTGATTATCAGACTAACCTACCTCACAGATTTGTTGTTACTAGGATAAAATGGAGGAGGACCATGGAAGCTGCCTTGAGTTCCTTACAAGAAGGAAAAGGGGAGAATACAGAAACATAGGAATCTACATTATGCTGAGTCAGATTCTGGGTCCAGCTAGCCCAGAATCATAGACATTGACTGACCAGGGTTGCAAGCAGAAGTTTTACCTACCTGACCTGAAGATGCCCAGAATTGAACCTAGGAAATTCTGTACACAAAGCACAATGTCTCATTAGCAATTTATGTTGCCAAAGAAGTTCAGGGCAGTAGACGAGGGAACAAATGTGTCTCCCATTTCTTTGCCTGAATTATCCGACCTGGATCATAGTGCTATCACAGTCTGAAAGGTTTACTTTCTTCCATTAATGCTAATACCTCACAGGTCACACACAGGACATTTCATAAGTCACACATAAGTAGAGTCATGCTAGATCAAACCACCAGAGGGACAAAGTGCCAATCAGTTGTAATAACTTGCTGTGATCAGTTTGAAGAGAAGGAAGGAAGTGCTTTATTCCCTCATGCTCATAAGTGCCTTTGTTTGTCATTCTTCCCATTTCATGGATTGCAGAAACCCATAGCTTTCCTGTAATCTCTATATAATCAAGGCTTGCACAGAGTTCACTTTCAGCCATAATCAACATTCTCTCCAGTGGATATTGGATGCAGTATTTAAATAGGCACTGCAAAATAGTGACTATATATCCATTTTACAACTATGCTAGAGTATAAAAGGTGCCTGAGCAACCTAATCTCGTAAGTGTATTTTCAAGTAGATCAGATGGGTCACATTGCCTCAAGTACAACCTTCCTAAAAGTGGTGAACCCATAATTCCTTCCAGTATTTGAGTATTCAGCCTCTACCAGGCACATAAACACACATACAAAGAGTTAAATACTATTCAGTCTCACAGGGGAAAGTGTTGACTATTTGCCAAACCTGAAAAATTTGAGGCTATTTGCCTTCAAAGTACAAAGTTGAATTTTCTAGGCAGATAAATCATCTACTTGGTTCACTCATTATGCTGGATTATCAGAAGCAAAGTAACTATTCCACCCTTAATTCAACATTCACTATTTCCAGGTCTACCAAAAGTCAACATCCTAAATGTATAATTTAAAGTTGAGTGATTTAAAATACTTCATAGAAAGTCAGTGTGGAAACAGAAGCACAGCACAGTCTTAAGTCTGACCATTAACAGGAGGACAGCAGAGAAACCAAAACACAAATACCATTTTCCCTGCAACTGAAGTCTTGAGCTTACAAAGTAATTTAGTACTGCCAAGTACAGAGGTCTCTTGATAACATAACATATCCCTTGGGCAATGGGCCAAAAAACTCCTTCTGTGGAGCTTTTTCTTAGAAAATTCTGCTACACTATCAGGACCTGGGTGGAAACAATCTAACAAAGCATTCAACAGAGAATGTCTTTCGTCAGCACTTCATCACTAGCTGACAGAGCTGCATACAGGAAAGGCAAGTTTGCTGCTATTAGGACACCCTATATTGCACATGGCAAAATGCCTTTAAAGTATAATTGATGTTCACAGAATTGAAGTGTTGTAGCATGTGACTAAGACAAAGAGGAGAAGACTAGTCTGTTAAGAAAGGAGCCAAAGTCAAGTTCTCTTATAAAGAAAAGCTATTCTCTTAACTGTTGGCTTTTCCATGGGAAAAATTGTTAATTGAGGAGTTGTTGTATAAAACTATTGCTTTGTTTGGCATCAGCTCTGCTACAGTACTTCTGCTTTGAAACAGACCAAGAGAATTTCTCAGAACCACCAAAAGACACAAATGCTGAAGCTAATGCAGAACTCACAGCTCTTAACAGAATTATCCAGCAGAAACGAAAAGCTCTCCTTAGTCTCTAAACACCTATCTATATACTGAATTTGTGTTGTGATAGTGGCAATTTTTATACTGCTTCAGAGGCATTGAAGAGTAAAACTATTTACAAAAATCAAACAAGAGTATGTTTTCTGGCTCTCAGCCAAACTTTAATCATTGGTAAGACAGCCAGCTGAGCTCATCAAATGCCATACTTGGGTGAACACAATAAGATAAACCAGAGAGCTGAACAGAGAAGGCTATGCTGTTGTGATGTTGAGCAGCCCAACAGCTTTAGCCATAATGTCATCTTCACTGGGGGATGGGGGGGAGGCAAGTTCGAGCAGTCACGGTTTTCCTTCCTTGCTAAATAGTCCAGCCATTAATTGCAACTGCATCACTAGCTGCTAAAACTGCTTGCTTCCAATAATGAAAGCAAAATTTTCAAGTGAGCAGAAACACTCTCTTTTTACAAACTATTGTGAGCTTCCTCACACTAATCTTGCAACATTTCTTCAGGCTGGAAAAAAATCAGCATGCTTTACTTGTAATCATACATGTAGACATCACTAAAATAATATAATTATTTCACACCCATACCCATACCCATACCCATACCCACACACACACATACCCCTTCAAAGTCAAAGTAAGTCAAAATCTTTCTAAACCATGGAGTGGCAGACCTACGGAATGTGCTGCTTCAAACTAAATCCTGAAGGCTCAGTTCTTTCAACAGGAATTTGCCCAGCCCAAAGCAATTACACTAAAAGAATGCTAAATTGCTGCTGACAACTGGTTCAGGAGCTCTAAAATTTAAACAGAAAAATTAACTGCCACAGACATAATGCAAGAAAGAACCTTGTATAAATGTTAACATGCCAACGAAAGACCCCAGACACTACATTCAGCATTTAAAAACCTTGTAATAATTATTCATGTTATATAAAGGAATTCAAAAATAAAATAATATAATGTGGGTTAAAAGACAGTACACTGCTCATGCCATATAGAATTACTAAACAGGAATACATTGTATAATTTTGCTGCAGTTTTAACATTTCTTCAGAAATAAGCTCCAGATTAAGTTACACTATGGGTTGGACTCAGACTCAACCATACTTTGAGGAGACCCATTGAAACCCATAGGATTAAAATAATTGTGACTATTGTAAATTTCATTGATGTCATTAGGTATCTTCTAAGTATGACTAAATCCAGATCTAAATAACTGAAAATAAAGTGCAGTGTATGTATGAGTGGTATTTTATGAGTGCCAGAAATCAGAAGCTAGTCAAAATTCCTGATGCCACCACTAAATGCCATTCTAAGATGTACAAACATCCAGAATGCAGCATGAAGCAGATAGAATCAAAGAAACTCTAGAACAAAAGCCAATGCTTCTCAGTGGAATGACACTTAGAATATAGAATGCAATTTAGTATATGAGACACAACGCTATGTACTTCATGAGAAACACAGAAGTTGCAGCAAGCAACTAAAAATGCTTTCTTCTGAGACTGAAAGAGAGCATTTTTAAATAACAGGAGACATAAGAGCACCAAGAAAACCTGTCCAGATAGCAAAAAGCTTTAACCCTCAGTGGTCCGCCCCTGTATATGGCACATTATTTATACCACTTTGTGCACTCCATTGTGGAAATATGGGGTATACATATTCTAAATAAATAAAATTTGCCCATGCCAAGTGTTTTTGTATAGAACTAAATTATTTCAGCAAAGTCTAACATTATTGCTGCATCTCTTGAAATAAAGGAGTGAAAAGGGAGCTTTTGATGGGATTGAATGTGCCTTACATTTGGAAATGTCTAATACTCCACCTGAGCAGCTGTACATGACTGGCAATTCAGAGGCAGAGCCCTGATAAACTTGTTTTGCTGGTGAAACAACTTTACACTGATGTTTATAGACTAAAATTAACAACAGAACTCGCTCATACTCTTCCCTCTCTCCCTCTTCTGTGCCACAGTGTTACAGGACGTGGGCTGGTCAAAATGTCTTACAAGGACTTTCAGAAAGAACTCCATACTATTGGTGAAAAGCTATGGCTCAAGCTTCAGAGACTACCCAGGGCTGAACCTTTGGAGATTGTGTCCTTTTTTGTTATTGTTTTGTTCATAGGTAAGTATGAAGCTTTCCACATGGTTCCAGCAATCTAGGTTCATCAGATCTGGCTGTCTGTTTTGCCAAGCTCTAAATGATATCCTATTTCTTTATTCTAAAATGCCCCATAGATTTTCAAAGTTTGCAATGTACAGGACAGGATTCAAGTTTATGTTTGTGAATAATTTAGCACAGTTCAATTCTAACAGATGAGAACAGCTATTTATCTATGTGGAAGAATGCAATTCGGTCAATCAGTGCTTGGGTTCTGTACCATCTATATACCATCTAAACCAGGGGTACTCAAACTTTTTCTAAAGGGGGCCAGTTGACAGCTAACAGCAGTGGGCATAGGCTGCCAAGGCGGTGCTGGAAGGGGGGTGTGGGCCAGTGAGGGGGTGCGCACACACGCGTACACGCAAGGTGAGGCGGAAGGGCACAGGGGAGCGAGGTGCTGGCTTGCTTGCGAGGAGACTGAGTCCAAAACAACCTCCTCGCGAGCAAGTCGGGTGCCTGGCAAGTGCAAAACCTGTGAGGCGGGCCAGTTAAATGGGCATGGGGGGCCGGATCTGGCCTGCAGGCCTTAGTCTGAGGACCCATGATCTAAACCTCACCATCTGAATGACATAAGAGAAATTCAAATTTATGAAAATAGATAGTTCAACATCTGTGTTAAATGGAAGCACTGCTTTAGGTTACAGCAAATTACAGTGAAGCAAGCCAGTGCAGTGTGGTGGTGGGAATGTTGGACTGGGAACCTGGAAGACCTGGGGTCCAAGTCCCCACTCAGCCATGAAGCTCAATGAATGGCTTTGGGCCAGTCACTTACTCTTGGCTTAACCTATCTCACAAGTTTGTTGTTGTGAGGGAAAAAATTAAGCTATGTAAGCCAGCTTGGCTTCATCACAAGAAGAAAGCCAGTATATAAATCTACTACTACTACTACTACTACTACTAATAATAATAATAATAATAATAATAATAATAATAATAACAGGTTCATATTTGTGATGCTTGAACCTGCAGCTTTCTCTTTATCTAAACTTAGCAGTAACTGAAATCTCCCTGGAAGCAAAGTGCTTTAGGAAATGGGGTGGGGTTTTGTTGGTTAGATTTAAGCAATATAGAGAAGATTGTGATCTGCAGGAGCTGGAAGTGCCTGATGCGGAATATGCCCAAGAGATATTCTTTGCAAAACCTGGCTACTTCTCAGGTATGAATCAGAGATAGTAACTTCTCAGCCAACTTCTTACTTGTATATCTAACCAAAGTTTGTTTGAAACCATTTCTGGTTCATATTTAATGACAAGCCAGGACTTGCCTGATATTAGCAAATTTTCCATTTCCCCACAACCCCCCTCCTCCTCCACACAGCTTGCTTCAGTCAGCAGCATCCTCTCACCCTGTGCAGCTTTGCAGGGATTGGAGGGGTGCCATGAGAAAGAGGGCTGGGGCAGTCTACTTCTGCCATCTTTGTGGCACACATCTAATCTGGACTGGATGCATTATTAATAATAGTTACTCTACAGTAGAGCTGGCCAAAATTCCCAAATTTAAAAGCCACACAAACAAACCTTCCTACGGTTGAGTGCCACAAGCTATGTTATTCTCTGATGCCTTTCTCTTAACCATCACTCTTTTCCCAATCCATTACACAAATCTCCTCCCCCAGTCTCTGCTGCTGCTTCCCAATTCCAAGTGCTATCCTTGTGCTTTCAGTTTTCTACTTCCAAGCCCAAATAAGCCTGCTGCCTCCTCTCTTCACAACCTCAGTCTGCCTGTACTTTCTAGGAACATTTCACTTTGACATGATCAAGAAAATCAATGATCAATCATGACTACCTCTAATTTCCCTACTCTGGGTCTCCTTGTAGGATATGGCTGAGAGAGTAGAAAGGGTAAGGGCAAGTTTGCTTAGTATTTTTAAAATAGGAACAAAAAGTCAAACAATTAAAACTAATGAGCCTCAAGCCATAGGTTGAATATCTCTATTTCACAGCTCATGCTACTAAGATTATTTTGCTATGTTTCATTAGTGATTCCAGAAGACATACATGTAAAAGCAACAACTCTCCCTTTTCTGTTGTTCTCCGCACTGTATACTGGGTTAGGGTTCTAATTCCTGGCTGCCATTTCCAAAAGCTAACAATCTACCTTTCATTTTGCCTTTCAGTCACAATACTTTCAATGATGATCATAGCTTGCAGCTGTTGCTGCACCCGCTGCTGCAGTGGAAGCCCCAAACCCAAGGGAAGGAGGATCCAAGTTCAGCCAGCAGGCCATGCATAAGAATGCATTCATAACATGGACCTTTGGAGGAAATAATCTGTGGAAACTTACATAGGAATAGACTTGGACAGTAGTCCACAGAACAATACCTACCAATGGAGAATATGAGAGAGAGAGAGAGAGAGAAACCCTTAACCTGAGCAGGGTTTATGACTTGGCCAATGTATCATTTTGTTAAAAGTCATGCACTTCACAGTACTTGTCTCCCAGTCCAATCAAGACAATGAACATATTATGCCAACAGTGAGGTATGAGTGCCACAGCTGTCCAAGCTAGAAATCCAAAACTGTGCACAAAAAAAAAAAAAAAAAAAAAAAAACCTGCCACAAACACCTTCACGTGAATTAAGGAAGCTTTTACTTTTCTACACAGGAGACAGTCTAGAGAAATGACAAGCACCAGGACTTCCCTCTGAACTTCAAGTTACATGCAATTGCTCAGCCCAACAAACTACACATGAACACTGTTTTATCCTCATTACCCAACTATCTACAGCCAAGAATACCAGAATGTGTGATTTCTAATGAAGAGGAAACAATAATGCAGCCTTAAAATTGAGATGCGACCTCAGAAACTGCAAAGAAGAGCAGCAACAAATCCTCTTAGCCTTCCTTGCTTCCTTTACAAAAGCACAGACGACTGCCAGAAAGAATAAATGTATTATTTGCACTAGCCATTTGTCTGGGCAGGGAAAAAGATGAAAGGATAATGAATACCCACAACACTATGCTGTTTTGCTTGCCTGCCTTAAAGTGAATGTATTTGTTTGTTTTTAAGAAAAAAGTATTTTGGCATTTTTTTTTCCATTGACAAACCTTGCTGTATCTGCCTATTACAAACCAACTCTTTAGTATTATGAAAAGGAAACTGAGCTACATTTCCACTGATGTGTGTTTAGGATGTATTCCTATATAAAGAATTTTCCTAGTAATTGTTTGTTTGTGGAAATAACACACAACATTTAAGGCAGTTGTACTAGGAGGGTCAAAAAGCGTCAAAAACAATTTTTTATTTCACAGTTTTTCAGAGATTACTCATAGAAAAGATGCCAAAAGAGGGAGGGTTACAGTCTTCATCTCATTCACTGAAGCCTGAGGTTTAAAATGTACACACAGAGAGCTCACAAGCTACAGTAGGAGCTGTGTTAATTCAGGAAATGTGCAGCAGCTGGGCAATAGCATTATGACAAATGCTAGAGGAGAAGCACAGCCAAGAATGAACTGCCCAGCTACAGTTTATGGACGAAAGGAAATCCCCTTCCAGAAATGCAGGCCCTTTGTATACTTGGTTTCTGCTCCAGTGATCTTAAAAGGGAGCTACAAGTGTAGAAAGCAGAAGCTAGGGAGCCCAACATGTGTTAAGTGGAAGTGGTGGGGAGATTATTACCACAATTAAATAGTCTACTCTACTGCATGAACTGCCCAAGTATTATACTGGAAGCAGCATCAAGGTCATCTATAATCAAGCCCCTCCATTTGGGGACCCTCCAATCTTACAGATTAGATCAGGCCAGGCTGTCAAGACTGTAATGTATCACAAGCAGAAAGCAAATGATTATCTGAAGGAACTCATGGGGATTACAGGTCTATTTTTAATGAACTTTCATTCAAAACTCCTTTTCCAAAAGGGAAGTATTTAACCAATATAGACTTACTATATAAGAATAATATGAGTTTGTAATGACACAGCAACCCATCCTGACTAATTAACCACGGTAGATTGTCATGTTTTGCAAACCTGAATGGCTACCCCCAGGGTGGCTTGCATCTGTTCAGCATTCCACCCTGCCAAAGCATAGTTTGTGGTCAGGGCTGTTTGCACCCATGATGGGTTACTGTGTCATCCAAACTCAGGCAACCAATCCTTTACTGTTCTTGCAGAGTTTGCCTGGGCAATTCTAGCACTGTGGAGTGACCAACACTGTCTCAGGGTTCTTTGCATTCACTGTGAGTTTTCCTTTCTTTTTTCCCCTCCCTCAGAACTCACTTTTCTAATCTCCAAAACAGCAACCCCTAAGTAACACTTTGACAGCTGTGAAAAGTGATGCTTCCTTTTAAACAGGTATTTAGGCAGGATAGTTTTGATAGGGAAATATGAAGTTTATCTATGCATATTTCTCTCTCAGAATTACCCTGTCTTTTCCTGTTTATCAGTAGATTCAAGTCTACCTTATGCTCGCTCATTTGATGAAAAGTACCAACAATCAAAGAGCAAAAAAGCAGGGCAACTTTGCAGAGCATTGTAGTATAAATTTGGTGTTAATACTATCTCCAATAAGTAGTACTGCATCTTTTGGGGCATGAAAGTCTGAACTCATATTTTATGGATAGCAAAGTACCATATTTTTCTGTGTATAAGATACTACTTTTTCTTAAAAACATTTACTTAAAAATAGAGGTGCATCTTATACACGGGGGGCCAAGAGGAGAACCGTGGGTATGCTGGGGGGAGGGGAGACTGGCGCAATCACACACACACATGGGGGGGCAGTGAAGCCGCATGCACAGGTGGGAGGGCGGCAAGGTGCCATGGGGGGGCGGTGAGGCGGTGTGCGCAGCAGCAGCTTGCTCGCTGGAGATGGGTAGGAAAAGTGGGGGGCGTCCTATACATGGGAGCGTCTTATAGATGGAAAAATACAGTAATACTGGAGGAAAAGAAGCATTTTAACACTTTGCACCTTTCTGAGAAAGCTTAGGACAGTGTGTGTGTCAGGGCTGTTGCTAATACAACTCCCATATGAGTCGTATTAGTAAAGTGTATTAAGACAAAGCAGCTTAATAAAAGCATGAGTGTTAGGCTGCTCATGGCATGCAAAGCTCTGGGCCTATTTGTATCCTACTGACAGGTCAAGTAAAACCTGTTGGAAGCAATCTTATGGGCTGGGTTATTTCTCACCCTAGCACAGGTAACCTTACAGATGCCTAGTAATATATTATGGTTCTACATTCTAGGATCAATCAACAACGTCTTAGATACTATGGTTCAGCAGTTTAATATGTAGCATTATATGTTTTAAAACATGAGTACACAACTTGCTGAACCACGTAACTGAATATGGATCATGATTAAATAGTGTGGCCTGCTCAACTCCCTCATCTTTGTAGTTCCAGGCAAGCTGCAAAACCAGACCTATCAAGCCCCATGAGAGTTTGCATGCAGGACTACTGATCTGTGTTAGCTTGCTAGGCCTGTAATTATCCAGACATGCATTAGGCCAACACTGAACTAGACCCTTACTGCTTGCCATGTGTGCAGATGGTAACTCCTATTTTTGCTTTAAAAAACCCAACAACTGCAGACTGATTAAAGGCCACCAGCATATTTATTCTGGGTGTGCCCTATTTCAGGAGCCATTCCTTGTGGGGAGGGCAGGGATGGGAAAACAGAACCAGCAATCATATACAAGCCAAGATTAGCTTAACTTCAAACACAGCTACTTCTTTAAACATATAATGTTGGCACAAGACTAAAGAGAGCAAGATATCACAATAGAATGCTAAAACTGCTTTCTATTATACAGCATTTTTATTACACTATTAGGTGCCTTAGAGAGAAATTATGTGCCCTCATTGAACAAATGCATTTAGGATGCGATTCTATCAAAATGAACATGACCCCTGAAACTTGGAGACTCATATTCATCTAATGTAAAGCAAGAGAAGTAGCAGAGGCAATCTTTACATTTTTGCTCCATATTTTCACTAGATACTGGTTTTCATAACTCTAGCAATGGCATCTCAGACTGGCAGGGAAGGAAGCTGGAGTGGCTTCAGGACTGCTCATGTCCTGGCTGCTTTAGCCTCTTCCCTGCCCCACTTTAACCCTTCCCCAAACTAGCTATCCTAATCTCTGAAAGAAGTCAGTGTGGTTCTTTTCACTAGGGGGAAAAGGATTGGAGCTCTGATTCCCACACCCAAGGCTGAAATGCTTAGAGCTGGAAATCCAAACTATCCTATGGTACCTCACACAGTGCCTAGGGGCCACAGGATCACTCCCTCCATTTAACAGAGTTAAATTAGATGAGATGTGGAAGGATGGCGTTCAATGTGGATAAGTGCAAGGTCTTGCACTTGGGGCATAGGAATAGGTGTCATAAGTACAGGTTAGGGGACAAGTGGCTGGAGAGCAGCACTTGTGAAAGCAATCTCAAGGTACTGGTTGACCACAGGCTAAACATGAGTCAGTAGTGAGATGTGGCAGTCAAGAGCGTGTACGCCACCCTTGGTGGAGTAGCCAGAAGTGTGGCTTCTAGATCGAGAGAGGTATTACTGCCACTCTATACGACTCTGGTACACCCACAATTGGAGTGTTGTGGTCAGTTTGGGCTCCACATTACAGGAAGGATATAGCCAGGCTGGAATCAGTGCAGTGTAGGGCCACAAGGATGGTGGCTGAATTGCAGGGAAAGTCATACAAGGTGAGACTGAGGGAGCTGGGTCTTTTCAGCCTGGAGGAGACTCCAGCAGGGGATCTGCTGGTGACATATTGGTATGTGAGAGGGTATCACACGGAGGTGGGTAGAGACCTCCCCTGCAGAGGAGGGCAGGATGCATTCCAATGGAGCCAAGCTCAGGGAACCAAGGTTCAATTTGGATGCCAGGAAGTACTTCCTGACAGTTAGGACCCGGAGGGCATGGAATGAGCTTCCACAAGAGGTGGTTGAAGTCCCATTGGTGAAAGGCCATGCAAAAAAAGAATTAAGAGCTCTCTTCTAAAGTGTTGCTTCCCAAAGTCTTCTAAGCAGCAACCTTGGGTTGCTAATTAGTTTTTTTTTTTAAGCAGCGGGGGGCAGGGGGAGTATAGTGTGGCTTCTCATCATCATTTATTACACATTATTTCTTCTGGGATGAATTTATTACAATTTTTAGAAGATTTTCATGTGATGTTTATTCTTTTAGCATGCAGTCATAAATCCTGTACAATACCTAAGCTACTACCACAAACTTGAAAAAGAGTGGAGACAAAAGCTTGATAAAGAAATGATAAGACTCTGGATTGAACTAAGTGTTGCAAATACATAGAAACATAGAAGCAAAGTGAATCAGAAGGTGCCTCTTGAGCCATCTGGTTTGACCCCCAACTCCAGCTGTCTCCACTCATGTAATCCCCAACATGTGGTTGACCAATATTTCCCTGGACACCCTCACTGATGGGACCTCAACCACCTCACTTGCAAGTCCATTCTATATCCTGTGGGTCCTAGCCATAAGAGAGCACTTCCTGACAACCAACCTTGAGCTTTGCCTCATTAGAAGGTGTCCTGTCCTTCACTGCAGGGAAGAACAAGTCACAGCCCTCCTCCACATGACATTTCCTCACATACCTATAAGTAACTAAAAGATCCCCTGGGAGTCTCCTCTTCTCTAGGCTGAAAAGACCCAGTTTCCTCAAACTCCCTTTATATGTCATCCCTCCCAACCCGGCTACCATTCTTGTGACCCTGTGCTGAACCGATTCTAACCTAGCTATGTCTCTCCTATAATGTGGAGCCCAGAACTGGACACAGTATTCCAGTTGTGTGTACACCAGAACTGTGTAGAGGGGTATCAACACCTCCCTAGATCTGGAAGCCATGCTTCTGGTTATATATCCAAGGATGGCGTTTGCCTTATTAACTGCCACATCACACTGCCAGGTCATGTTCAGCCTGCTGTCTGACAAGTTTCCTGAGATCCTTTTCACAAGTACTGCTCTCCAGCCACTTGTCCCCCATTCTGTATCCATGACACCTATTCCTGTGTCCCAAGTGCAACACCTTGCACTTATCCACATTTAATGCCACCCTGTTGTCCCCTGCCCACTTCCACAGCCTGTCCAGATCCTTCTAGTCAGCAGACTGGTTATCCCCACCTCCAGGTCATTGATAAAAAGGCTGAACAGAATCAATCCTACAACAATAACAAACAAACCATAAGGTTTTAGGACCCCAAG